TCAGCAACTTTCCCAAGAAGTCTCTGCAGTCTGAATTCAGTGAGAACTTCAAGAAGGCTTCATATCCTCGGGCCATTGGTGGCACAAAGTCTCCACAGCAGTCCTATGAGGTTTCCCAGATACCGCCTTGGAAACCTGAGTCATGTAATCCCCCATCTCATTCCCCACAGCCGGACTTCAATACATTTTCCAAGAAGCATCCACAGCTCCAGCTAAGTGACCTTCCCAGGACATCTTCAGAGCCCGAAGTCCGCAGAGTTCCCAAAAAGCCTCAGCAGCCAGACCTCAAAGTCCATTCTAAAAAACCCTCGCAGCCAGAACTGGGTCATCTCCCTAGAACATCCTCTGAGCCTGAGGTCAGCTCGCTCCCCAGGAAGTTTCTAGGGCCTCAACACAGCAAGTTTGACTTTCCCAAGGGTCTGCCCAGAAAGCCCAAGCTTCCTGGTTCAGTATCCGAGTGCTCTCTGCCCTCTGCCATTGCCAGCTCCAGCCCCCAGTTCCCCCTCAGCCCTGGGTATGGAGTCCCTGGGACACCCGGCTGGAGATCAGACTTCCAAATCCAGCACCCGCCCCGGAGGCGACCTCTGCCCTCAGCCAGCAGCCTGGGATCCCCCCCAGCTAAGCCCCCATTACCACCTGTTCCCATCAATATCCAAAGCTTCCAGAGAGCCTCAGCCACAGCTACAGGTGAGTTAGGGTAGGTGGCTCCAGCAGAAGAGGAGGTAAAACATCTAGGCAGAGCCACTTCCCTTCCATGGTTTCTCCTCCACAGCTGTACTGAAGACTGGATTTTCTAGGACCCACTTCCCAGCCCAACAACCTCAACAGATCTCACAGTGAGTGTGGGGAAAAAGGGGCCAGGCATGGGTGCAAGGCTAAAGGAGACCCTTATCTCAGCTCTCCTTGCAGGAACCCAGACGAGATCTATGAGCTGTATGATGCTGTGGAGGCCACAGGTGACTCTAGTCTCAGCCCCAGAGGCAGAGGTTTGTAGATGGTATAGGTGGTTGGTTTGGGCACCCATTAAACATTAGTTGCAAAGAAATGCTCTCATGATCCAGGTTTAAGAAAAGACCACAAAGTGACTCAGACCAGATGGGCCAGATGATGAAGGGGAAGACCAGAGACACCCAACCAGCCAGGCTTGCTATTATAGGCAGCATTGTCGAGTTAGTGACAAAAGGCCTGGATAGCAATGGAAGAACTGCAGAAATCAAAGTTGGCAACCCAGACTAGGTGGTGTATCAGGCAGGGAGCAAGTTAGATCGTGGCATGTTCCGTTCATGTAGCCTAGCACTCAAGTGCATAGGAGTCATAGCAGGATCATGGGCAATGCATCAAGTTCTAAAGCTGGGCAAGGTTAATTATAATGCTGTAACACTTAGTATTTAGGAGGCAGGATGATGGCTACTCAGCAATCAAGACCAGCCTGGACTAGATGAGACCCTGCAAACAAAACCAAAGCAATCCCCACCTATCAGGTTCCTTGCAGCCCATCCCAAGATGATATCCCAGCAAGATGTATGCCTGGAATCAGGAGAGAGGTGTGGGCTGGAGGCAGTGCAGCAGAAGGTTCTTTTCCTTTCTTCTAAGTCAGTTTCTTGAGGGGCTCCAGGATTATTGGTGTCTTCATAACCTGGGCTTCTATGAAAGAGCTTTGGTGACTCTGTAGCCACAGCCAAGACAGTTGCCCCATTACCAATGAAGAAGTTTAAGAGCCTGAGACTAGGCCCAGCCAGTCTAGAGCCGTGGTGATTCCAACTGAGCTTTCCTTCCCATCGCTATTCCCTGTCTTACTTACTGGGGTTCCCAGGAGGGACTTTTGGGGTGTTTGCTCACTGTCCAGGCTGGAGGTTCTGGTACAAAACCTTCAAATTCTCTAGCCCTTCTGTTTGCTTCTCCTGATCCATCCAGAGAGCCCCTAGTGCTTCTGTTGAGGGGATGCTTTATGGTTTGGGGAGATGGGGTTGTCAGCTATGCAGAGGCTGGTTAGAGCACTGGCCAGTTGCCAGAATTAGAACCTTTAGAACCTAATAGACTATAACCACCTCTCTATCTTTACCCACCATTCTTCAAGATCATGATCAAATATCAGACCCATCTGAGTTTCTCCTTTCAGTGTAATATGTGAGCCTTCTTATGGGCACAGCCTCTCAAAAGGCTGCTTTGTGCATTTTAGTCATCTTCCTAGTACTAAAGTGGTCTGGGACCAACCAGCTCCTCACTCCTACTCTTGGGGTCCTTTGGAACATGGCAGCTCCCCACCCCACACATATACATCTTTTTTATAACTCGCAACTCACCTGGAAGGTAGGGTCCAGTCTTTCCAGGATTATGTGTAGACCAACAGGAAAGGAAGATTATCATTGGCCTGCTCAGAACAAGCTGCAAGATGACCTCAGAACCACAGGGCCTAGTATTGTCACAGTCAAGTTTGCTTCTAGTTGTGAGATCACTCAAGGCTGAGACAAATCATGAGAAAAGCAGGTGCAGAGACCAAGCTCAGCACTCAGTATGATAGGCACCCCTGTCAGCTGCTCATCAAAAAGTTGGTCCAAAGTGATGTTTAGGACATTAACAAAATGGGGCCTCTTAGCCAGGCCCACACAACCTCCAATTTAAAAGGCTGTCGCCCTCAGCCAACAACTGGAAGTCTGGCCTACTGCTGGGAAATGGTACAAGCCAACACTCTGGGAAACCACAGCACTCAGCTTGGTAGCAGAAGGTTCTGGCTAAGAACCCCACCATGGCCAGGTGGTGGTGGTGCACCACTCTAATTCCAGCACTAGTGAGGCAGAGACAGGTGGATCTGAGTTCAATACCAGCTTGGTCTATAGAGTGAGTTCCAGGACAGTCAGGGCTACACACAGAAACCCTGTCTTCAAAAAACCAACCAACCAAAGAGCCCCACCCTAGTTGCTCCTCCTTACAGGTAAGCTATGGATGCTGTAAGGGAATGCTTACTTTTAGCTGAATCCAAAATCTTATTACAACTCCCAACATATTCTGGGAGGCAGAAGCAATATGGCTCCCAAAGACTACAACTTGTGGGCTGGTCACAGTGACCACAGCTTTAACCCCAGCACTCAGGGATAGATAGGTCTGAGTTCCAGGCCAGCCTGGTCTATATAGTGAGACCAAAATCCAAAAACAACAAAAAAAATACATCCCATCTCTACAATTTTACTAGCTGGATAGCCTTGATAGTTGGCCAAATTCCCATCGTTTATTTTTCCTCACCAAACTGAACCTTACTCCCAAGAACTGATGAATGCTGAGAGAAAGGTACAGGAGAAAAGTGGTTGAGATTCAGGGAAGGTCCAAGGACCTTCAGAGCAGGTTCACCCATCAAGCCCTTGTCCTGACTCTGTCCAATGCCCTCAGATGAAGTGCAGTCTACCCAGCAAGCCACCAGATGGCCTCAGCAGGACACAGAACTCAGGTACATGGGGCAGTCTGGGTGTTATGGGGCTGGGCTGAGCTCTGGGACTGATAAGAGTTCTTACTCATAAATAATACCCCAATGTCTGGGTCTTCCAGGAAGAATGCCAGTCACCCCCAGCAGCCGCCACCCACAGACCCCAAGCTGCTGAAACAGATCAGGAAAGCAGAGAAAGCTGAGAGAGAGTTTAGAAAGAAGTTCAAGGTAAGAACGTGGAACAAAGAATGAGTCCTGGGAAATACTGGTACCCAGGGTCCAGGACTTCCATATTGAGGAAGAAATCACGGTTAACAGCAGAAATAGAAAGTTTTAATATGATGTTCCCCAAGTTTGAAGGTGAGATCGTGATTCACACAAAGATGATGATTGACCCCAATGCCAAGACCCGGCGTGGAGGTGGTAAGCACCTGGGCATTCGGCGTGGAGAAATCCTGGAGGTGATTGAGTTTACTAACAAGGATGAGATGCTGTGCCGGGACCCCAAGGGCAAGTGTAAGTGTGTTTGGCACACATCTAGGGAAAAGAGTGAGGTGTGCTAGGGCTGAGAATCCACTCTATCTATTCTCCCCTGTAGATGGCTATGTACCCAGAACTGCACTATTACCCTTGTAAGTGCTGGTCCTGCCTGGGTGGTATGGGGAACACCAGGGTTGACCCCCTACTGACTATACTGTGCTCTTTGCTAGGGAAACGGAAGTATATGATGATGTCAGCTTCTGGGGTATGTACAGTGACTCCCATAGAGGTGCTTGTTATCATGCCTCTGTGGCATAAGATCACTTGAATTCATCCTTCTTTGCAGATCCTCTGGACACTCAACCATTTCCTCAGGGACAGTAAGGCAGACAGGGAGGTGGGTTCCAGGCCCACCAGCCCAGTTACTGTTCTCTCAGGAGCCCTGGATCCTAGCCTGGCAAACAGACGCCCAAGTGCACATGCCCACATAAAGACCCCTTTAAAAACAACCTTGCTTCTTGTCTTTTCCTCTCCCTTCCTGATTGGAACACACAACAGAACAGACACATGCTAGGTACCAAAGTGAAAAGAAAACTCAGTTGTCTGCTCAATAGAAAAGGAACTACTGAGGATGCACCCCCATACACCCTGGGTGACCAGGAGCTGTATCCCAAAACACCTTGTAGCCTGCAAGCATTTGTGTTGCCAAGTGAGTCTATAACGACCCTTACTGGTAGGACTCCTGCCTAATAGGACATTAGTATGAAGTTGTGTCCCAAAAAATGATATTCTCAGTGGGCTTAAACAAGAAAAGCCAAATGAAGTAAGCTTTGCTCAGTGTCTGGGACTCATAGAATATAGCCACAGGATGACTTTCAGGATTGCTATTATCACCCCTGGGAAGATGAAACCTAGGATATATACTACAGTGTTCCTATTATAACCAGGGTCTGCTCTCCAAACACTGGGGCCCACAGACAAGCCATAATGGATAAGATCCCTGGAGGTCACAGCTCTGAGGAAGGAGGAAGTGTAAGTTGGCCCAGCTCCACATACCTCAGATGGCCATCTCTACAACATACACACAAAAAAAGCAAGCCACTTTCAGGAACTGGTATTTATTATCAAAGTCATATTTGATGTCAACAAGATGCCACAACTACAAAAAAAATTGCGCACATTGCAATCTCAATGCAAACAATCAAATGGAACCCCACTTATTAAAAAAATTAATTCAAATTACCCCAAAAAGCAACTGAATTTTTTAAACATCTTTATACATCCAGCCAACAAATTAAAATGGTTAACAAGAAAAAATACAAATTCAGAGGTCTGGTATTGATGTTTAAAAAAGGCAACTGCTTAAGCATTTCTATCGATTCGAACATCAATCTCTCGGCCACTCAGCTTCATGCCATTCATCATCCGGCAGGCTCTCTCAGCCACCTCTGGAGACTCAAATTTAACCACACCGCACCCCTTGGACTTTCCGTTCTCCATCTTGATGTCGGCGTACAGCACATGGCCTGGCACAGGGAGGGAAGAAGAGACCACACGCATCAGGCAAACCCAGAGCTCAGCCTCAGTCTGGGCTCCACTCAGTCCAGATCACCTGTTGGATTTCGGTGACAGAGTCAAAAAGGAGAGAGGCCCTTGCATATGAAGTGAATGCTTAGAATACCACATATGGTGCCAGAACTACAGCCCCCTCCACTATATTGCCATTGTTCTCCAAGCAGGACAACAGCTTACCCTGTGAAAAACCTGCCAAGCAGCTTCAAGTGTTTGCCTTTATGCTTCAGCAAGTTACACAGAGAGGAGACTATGTGGAGCCAACTTTAAATTACAATTCTAGAGGCTTGATTGTTGAATACCACCATCTGGTCACAAGGTCACAACCAATATGCAGTGAGCAGCTTACATATATCAATTCATAAACCTATTAAGTATCCAGGTTATTAAGTATACAGGTATGTGCCAAGTACAAAAGAAAAGGGTCTATAACAGAGTAAGAGCCAAAGACACATCAGTGGTGTTAGGTCCCATAATTCTTGTGCTACTAATGGCTTGGGGAGAGATGACACTCCAATGGCTTCTCATAATAAAATTCTGAAAGATATTAAGTAGCAATCAGAATAAACACTCCTGCCAGAGCAGGGCACAATGGTACACATCTGAGTTCTAGACCACACTGGAGCTACATGGCAAGACCCAGGCTCAAAAGAAGGGAATGACAAAACAGAACTAAAGGAAGAACCACAGAAAGGATAATGGAAAGGTGGCTCACCTGTAATGTAAACCCAGCCCTTGGGAGGTGAAGGTATGAAAATCAAGAGTTCATGGTCACTGAGGATACAGCTCAGTGGATACAGTGCTTGCCCAGCATACACGAAACCCTGGGTTTGAACCCCAGCACTTATACAAACCAGGTTTGGTTACATACCCCTATAATCCCAGCATTCAGGAGTTAGAAGCAGGACTAAAACTTCAAGGTTATTTTCAGGTATATAATAGTGAGTTTAAGGGCCAGTCTGAGCTCTAAGAGACCCAATCTCAAAAAAACAAAACAAAAACACCCCCCCCCCCCCGCCAAGATTTCAAGGTCATCCTTGGTTACACAATGAATTTGTAGCAAAATGGGGCTAGCTGGATCCTATCTCAAAAAGAAAACGAGAAAAGGAGAAGGAAAAAAGAGAAAAAGAGAAGGGAAAGGAAAAGCAGAGAATGTTACAGGTTCAAGGGCAGTAAATAGGGAGATGGAACCAAGTTTCTAGAAGCTTTTGAGTTTGCATTTTCTCAGAGGTGGGGAGAATGGCATGCTCCAATCTGAGTTTTTGGAATATCTAATTACAATAGTGACTGGCATGAAATTTGCAACAGAGAATCAAAGAACCAGGCAAGAAGGTGGTTTTGACTCTACAGCTTGCCCTAAAGAACCAGGGGAAAGCACTAAGAACACTACAATGTGAGCCATTTCTGAACAAGGAAACAGGTGTTTTGATCAAGCAGCCACCCAGACCTTGGTGAAATGGTAGCAGGGGAGTATTGCATCTCAGTCACCAAGGAAGCTTTCCAGAAAGCCTAGTGTACCAATGAATCCACAATCAGACTTTCACCCCACAGTGTGCCCAGACCTACAACTGCTGAGCAAATGAGTGCTCTGGGGAACCAAACCAGCTATGGGGCTTCATAGCTGGGGAAAAGCAACTTGTTTTAGATTTACTTTTTTTTTTTGCCTCTTATGTAGGAAGGTGGTTCTTATGTAAAAAGACAATACTGCCTCCTCTCAGAAATTCTTGAGAAAACAGGAGTGGTGGTATTTGCCTGTAGTTCCAAAACATGGAAGGCAGAGTCAAAGAATCATGAACTCAAATCTAGCTTAGGTTATAACAGAGACAGAGAGACTGTCTCCAAAATCTAACTAGAAAAGAACAGCAAGGATGAAGGCAGCACACAGCATGACACATACCTGGATACCCAGCACCTGCCTGAGTACCTGCAGAGGCAGAACAATGGCAAGGCCCATCGGTGCTCTAGAGCCCATGGGCAGTGGTTAAGGCTAGGAAGAAAGCTTCACTGCTCTAACTCAACAGCATCACCAATAGCCACAACACAGGAATGCACACAGATAGCCTTTCTCAGACACTTACCACATTCATTGAATTTGTCCTTTAGCATCTTCCATGTAAAATCAAATGGGAGCTGAGGAAAAAAAAGAGGCAAACTAAGCTGTAATGCAACCAAGTCTCAACATACAGACATCACAATAAATATGAGAATATGACTTGAAGGTTTTCTTGGGCTGGGTGTGTAGCTTAGATGTAGGGTGATTTGCCTAGTATGTGTACAGTCCTAGATTTAATCCCCAGTAGTCCTCCCAACTCCAAAAATCTCTACTTCTCATCATAGAGAGACAGGGTGCCTTCCTTATGACAATCAGCAGGGGACAAAACAAGTCTTTAGTTTATGAGGGTGTCCTAAGAGCTGAATGGGCAACCCACAATTCAGTGATGAAATGTAATTCTATCTCAACCACCTTTCTCTGAATCACTGTGCCAAGACTGAAGTGTTCCTCAAGCCAAGGGAATCAATCAGAAACCACAGACCTTCATAGCCCAGGTCTACTCTATTGCCCTTCATATAACAGGCAAACACCAAACTACTGTATTTTTGTTTCTTTGTATTTGAGATAGGGTCTTTCTTGGTAACTCTTGCTAACATGGATCTCACATGTTAAAGGAGCCACCTACCTTTTACCCCTTGAGTGTGGGGGTTAAAGGAATGGGCCACCATGCCTAGCCCTGGGACTATTCCTTCCTGTAAACCCCCAACCTTCAGCCCAGTTTTGGGGATGAGCAAGTTGTACTCCCTATGCTGCCCAGCTCTCCCTTCTGCGGACTTCCCTCTGGACTACATCATTCAGTTCACTGACTCCCCACTAAGACTCACAACAAGGCTAAAGAGTTCCTAAAGAACCACTTACATTTCTCACAAATATCTGGCAGGCCTTCCTGGCTACTCCAGGTGCATGGCCTCCAGCTCCGCCAAAGGAACCTGCGAAGCTTCCTCCAAAGTTGCCCCGCTCCATCTCAATGGCTCTGTCAAAGCTAGCACCTCCAGCGCCACCCATGGCCAGGCCCATTCGCTCAATGCCAGCGCCTAATGCTGGGCCCATGGCAGGGCCCATTCGCTCCAGACTGTTGGCTCCCATTCGCTCCAGGCCCATGCGCTCCAGACTGTTGGCTCCCATGCGCTCTAGGCCCATGCGCTCCAGGTTGTTGGCGCCCATACGCTCCAGGCCGGTTGCCATACGATCCATCACAGGGCCCATGCGCTCCAGGCTGGCCCCCATGCCTGTGGGCACCATGCGATCCATGCTCAGGCCCATACGCTCAATGGCAGGGCCCATGCGCTCTACACCAGAGCCCATGCGCTCAATGGTTTGACCCACTCGGTCAATGGGCGCGGCCATGCGCTCCAGGCCAAAGCCCATGCCGGCACCCATGCGCTCCACGCCAGAGCCAATGCGCTCCATGGTCTGGCCCATGCGCTCAATACTGGAGGCCATGTGGTCAAGACCTAGTGGGCCCATGCGCTCGATGCCAGAGCCCATGCGCTCAACTGAGCCCATGCGGTCCATGACCAGGCCCATACGCTCAATCTCAGAGCCCACTCGATCCATGCCATGGCCTAGGCCTGCGCCCATGCGCTCCATGCCAGCACCGCCAATGCGGTCAATGCCAGGGCCCATCCTCTCGATCCCAGGGACACTGCCTCCAGCTCCACCTGAAACAGGAATAAAAAGCACAAGTGGAAGTCAGGGACTTGTGTAGGTATTCATATACCAATGCACATGCCTGGCTGGGTCAGATTCCAAGTTCAACCACAAATCAGGAAGTCATGCTCAAAGAAATTTACTATTAAGAAAACTCAACATTAACAACAAAATCTCCACAATCATTCTTTCCATTCCATAACACAGGTAAAAAAAATTCACAATAAAATTTACGGAATAAAAAATCCACCTTCACTGGGAGATGGTAGCGCATGCCTTTAACAGCAGCACTTGGGAGGCAGAGGCACGTGGATCTTTGTGACTTCAAGGCCAACCTGGTCTACAAACTGAGTTCCAGGACAGCCAGGGACACACCAGAGAAAACCCTGTCTCAAAACCAAAAACCAAAACACAACAAAAAACCCACCCATCAAAACCCAAAAAAATGTCATTTCCATGTTGGTACCTATGAGTCACATATCAATTCCTGAAAACTTTGTAGTTTCCTCATCAGCAAACATTGAGAACTTATCTCAAAGAAGCATGGAAAGCTTCATACTCAATAACTCAGGGTAACTGGTAAAAGTTACATGGAAATAATTCAACCTTTATCCTCTCAACTGGTCCCTCTTAAGATGACCTACTGACAGCCAATCTGGCTGTATTTCTTTAGCACTTACAGACACAAAGTGATTACACAGCCATATAAGCAGAAGATAAAGAAAATAAAAATGCCTATATAGATCCTCAGTGTACACATGCATACAAACAGGCCATTCCCTAGAACCTTTCCTTCTGTGAGGGAAATTGACAGCTTGTGTACATTTATTTCATTGGCTTTGAAAGATGCTGATAACATGGCACGGTCAATTCTCAAAGAAGCCAAGGGTCAATGACCAGTGCACAATGACCCTCATCCATGGTGCTTGTAACCCTGGACAGGAGCAGTCTGGCTCAATCACCAAGGCCATGGCTCACCACTTCACCATGCAGAGCTCAAAACTAAAGTTTCATAGTGCCCATCTCTCAACATAGCAGTCTAGCTCATGGCTAGCCTACTACTGACCCAGGGTGAACATTCAACAAGAGATCAATCAGCCAGTTTTATAATATGTAACTCGCCAAAGTTGTATGACCTGGAACAAGCCAATACATCTCTCTTTGCCCACTTCTGTGACTGAAATTCAGCACACTGGTTGACAAAAGAAAAGAAAAAAAAGCACAACTTCAAGAATGTTAGTTTCAGAACAGAAATTGCTCAGAAAGCAACTTCTTCACATTTGCAAGAGGAAAAGGGTTCTGACTCAACATATACTGTAGCAATGATGCTGGTAGCCCCATGCCAACAGCAACAGAACCAAGATAGACCTTAGCAAAACCCCCACAGAAATGCCTGGCAAGTGGCATCCACACCACATAGCTCACAACTACCTACCAAAGCTATTTAAGCCAGCATTGGCAATAAAAATGCTAATTAACTCTTAGTTCCAGCTCCCAAGGGGTCTTCTGCCTCTGGGTGTCTCATGTGCACATTTTTATACCTACACACACCCTTAAAAAAAAAAAAAATACATTTAATTCTAAGTGCTTATAAAACTATCATGGAAGAATATATACCCAAAATATTTTGATACTCACTCATCAATGGACACTGCATGTTTCAAAAGCATTTGTCAGTATTAAGGTGGTGCACTTTTCATTTTTAAGAGATTTTACATGCACTGGCTTTTTTTTTTTTTTTTTTTTAAACAACCCTCTGAGGTGGTACCTATTATTTCCTTCTCCCATTTTATAGGTGAGTAGACAAACAGGCATAGTCACTTGTCACAAGTCACATAGCTACAAAAAGGCAATGATTGCCCCACCCTGGGTAGCCTGTGTCAGAGCCCATGTTTGTCACACCACTGTTATCTCCATTAAATGTCTGTTCTAATAACAACAGCAGCAAAACACAGAACATCAAACTAAGTGATTCCTACCTCCTCCCTGCTTTGCAATGATCTCTCCTCTCTTCAGTGCATTACTTAGGATTTCTAAGGAAACCAGGAAGAAAAAATAATTAGACAAATTTCTCTGTAACAGAAACCTGCTCGTTATGTTCTAGAAGCACAATAATTTGCTTTTATTTTTGAAAGAAAAAGGGTTTGAGAAACATACATGTAAACAAAGTCATTTTACAGAAAATAGGAAAGCCATAATGCTAGGACTCCTTATAGCTTCAAAGTCAGGCCTGTAATTTTGTTCAGGAGAGAGGAATGATGTGCATTAACAAACAGGAGGAGAGGGCCCACAGCCTCTTCTCAGCAGCAGTTTTCTAAAGGTGTACTGAAACTCAGTATTGAGTGTCTCCCACTCAGAAGCCTGCATTGACTCCACCCTTCTCTGTACCACCAAACAAATTAAAGCTACAGCTGTACAAAAAGCCAGGAGGTGAGGTCCATCAGCACACAACAAGCAAGCATGATGTAATGTTGACAAAGACACTGGACAATTATATCCCTACCCCACTGAGAAAACACTGTTGCTTGCTGGCCAATGGTTTATCCAAGCCTCCTTAAAGTTTGCTGTTGCTATCATTAATATCCTAAATTAGAAATTAGAATAGCTTTATCATGTGAGAATACAGCTATGAACAGAAAATAGGTCCTTAACCATTAGACTTCTTGGCTATCAGGATTGTTTGCAAACAAGACACAGAAATTTATGGAATGATATATATAAGTACATGTGTTTTCTGGGCCATTCTTTAGGATCATATGCCAATATCAGGACACTGTGGGCATGTGGCCATAGCAGTTTTAGAGTACCCTTGCTAATGGCAGGCACCTGACAGTCCAGAAGTCACCTCTGCCACTCCTGAAGAACACTGTCACTAGGGACTCTGCCATCTCCTTTTAGTTCACACCTTCTACTGTGTGGTATTTATAAGAGAGCAGAGGTTAGGGAAGCCACCTGGTCATCTTTGCAGAATATATGACAGCATGGACAGTATTTGCAAGTATTTTTGAGAAGACATTTGAGTGTACCCTGACTGCTGATGGAGAAGTAAAATGATTAATCTCCTAGACAGATTTGGGGGGGGGGGGTGACTGCATGCAGGTTGTGGCTGTGCCTACTTCAGCAGACCCAGAAAGTTTTGAGAAGGAGTCTGAGTTAAGAATCCAGCTCCACAAGGCCTGGGAGACAGAAGAACATTCCTGTACTGCTTTTGGCAACAAAAAGTGAACTTAAGTGTCGTACATGAAGCCTCTGTGTCTGTCAGAATGAAAAGTCTATGATGCTGTGTTACATAAACAAGGGTATTATACACTGGTCCATCTGTGTTGGAATAGCAGTAACAAAGCAGAGGCTTAGTGGTTTGTTTTAGGTTTTTAGAAGCTGTCCTGGAACTAGCTCTTGTAGACCAGGCTGGTCTCAAACTCACAGAGATTCTCTGCCTCCTAAGTGCTATGATTAAAGGCGGCACTACCACCACCTGGCTGTGAGTTAAATGTTTTGCTCTTTTACTCTTTGGCTTTTTTTTTTTTTTTTTTTTTTTTTTTTTTTTTGAGCTCCCAAATAAATAACACACAGAGGCTTACTTATTGTTAGTTATGAACGCCTTGCCTTAGCTTGGCTCATTGCTAGCCAGCTTGTCTCATCTTAAATTATCTTGTCGCCTTTTGCCTATGGGCTTCTTTCTTTATTTCTGCATATCTCACTTTACTTCTTTTTCTATGGCTTGCTGTGTAGACAGGCTCCTCGTGTCTTCCTCTCCTTGTTCTCTTGCTGCTTCTCTCTTCCTCGTTTCTCCTTTCATTTATATTCTCTGCCTGCCAGCCCTACCTATTATATTGGCTGTTCAGGTCTTTATTAGACAATCAGGCCAAGAATTACAACTTCACAGAGTTAAATAAATGCAGCATAAACAAAAGTCACACACCTTAAAATAATATTCCCCAACAGAGGTTTGTCTACCAGAAAGGCAGGAGAGCTTCCCCAACAAATCTGGATGTTTCTTTGTCAATATCATGGCCCAAAACAAGAACATGGCCTTCAAAACTGAAATCAAGATTATGCCATGGTTTCTGTGTATTCTAAGCACTCTGTGTCTCCCATGTGGAGATTGTTATTAAGTCTTTGTGGTGAATAATCTGTATTGCATTGGATATTTAAGTAACTGTTTGACATGGTTTCCACCATTGCAACTGGCAGCTAAACTACCTCGTAGGCAACAAAATGCACAGGAAATGGAAGATCTTTATTGAGGGTCAGTATTCATCTGGAAACAACCTTGCTACACAAACACCTGAGACTCACTTCAGGACATGTCTGGGGTTCAAAGCAAAATACTGAAGCTTACTAAGAATGCCTACAATAGAAGTATCTCATCACTGAAGTTTTGGTCTCTGTCCTTCTATGTGCACTTGAGGTTGCCAGGTCATAAGAAAATCTAGGAATGGTCAGGCTTAATTACTGATACAGAAGTGGCCACTTTTAAAATCATGACTATTATTGACAAGAACGGATAGAACTTCTTGGAAACTAAAGTTTACTGACAGTTTTTGTTTAAACAGCAGATATTTGTAGACTTAGAAATTGATATGTAGCACATGCCTTTGGAATCGGAACGTAGACTGTTTTAAGTTAGAGTCCAGCCTAGTCTACAAAGCAAGTTCTAAACTCTGTCTCAAAAATTAAAAAGGAAAATTTTTACATTAAAATATTGCCAAAAGGCTAAACATTTATAAAGCCCAAAAGCTCCTTGTCTTTTGGGTTGGTCTTTGCATTCTATAGCTGTGTTCTATTTATTATTTTGCAAAATAACAATTTTAACCTTTGATAAAGCATATCTATGAGAATAGATATACCTTTGCTATATTTTTCAAGAAGTTTAATCTGTATGTTGTATATTTAAAAAAAAAATCTTTGAAAAGGAAAAAAAATCTAATTTTCCTTCAGTCTTTTGTAATGTGGGAAAAAGTACTAACCTTTCTGGTCCTCAAGCATACTAGCCTCAAAGCACATCTTGTACTATTATCCCCATAACCACAAAGGAGAACCTACCTAGCTATTTATTGTATTCCAAACAATTAGGGGGAAAGTTGGACAGTACAGAGAGATAAGGTAGCTCCTGTCTGCTAGTAAGTACCCAATTTGTTCTTCCATGATACCCAAGATCCTAATACATCAACCTATTCCCTATGAGACAGAGTTTTATATCACCAAACCACATACTGAAAAAGTTGAAATGGCCAAACTCTTTCTACAGACATTCTCAGACCTACCAAAGTGGGTGCACCACTGACCCTGTTCTTTATGCCTTTTCTCCTTCAACCACTGAACCTAACTGTCCTAGCTGCCCTGTCTGCTGGCATACCAAAGCTGCCTGTGCCAGATCTCTGGGCCTCTAAATGTCAGCTTCAATTGTTCTTTTGCCTTGTCTCCCTACACTGCTGCTTTCAGCATAGCTTATCTACTGGCTCTCCACAACAATCCTTTGTAGGTCTTAGCATACTTCATGTGCTGCTGATATATCTACCAAGGGCCTGGAAACAATACTTGCACATTAGACTACTCTTCTTCTGGCCATTTATAGCTATTATCTCTTCAAGTGTCTCTGTCCCAAGGTCAGGGCCACAGACCCATTTCTGAAGCACCAAGAGCAGCTGCTTGCACAAAAAAGTGCAAAGATCTACTTACTGCCATGATATGAGAGGGGACTCTGTACAAGTTCCAGAGATAAAACAAATAATCAAACAAGAACATCATCATCAAAAAAAAAAAAAAAAAACGGAATAAACTCCAAACCAATCAAGGCCATTACTCTGAAAATCAACTTATCTATTTTATTTGGTATAGATTGTTCTACTTCTTTCTGTTTGATTACAAGTAGTAACGGAATTCAAGGACTAAATAGTATAATCAAAAAGAAGATGCCACAGTAGCAAGAGGTAGCAAGGCCTGCAGGTAAGGTTTCCGTCTGGGTCAGAATAGCAAAAACTTTCTTGTCATGGAAAGTAACCTCACAGACCACTTCAGGACACATAGGTGAGAGAGACAGTTACAGAATGGTAATGATGGAAGGTTCTGAGCATAACATCATGTCATTTTCTTGTGGCCACAGACATGACACCAGTGTTTTAAAATATATCTTTTAATAGAGGACTATTCTAGTCATAGAAACAAATCTAGTAGTAGCAATAGAAAATGCACTCATCCTAGTCAGATACAGGTATGAACTCACTCCTCCAAATTTTAAACTTCAAGAACCTGAAATTAAGCCAGATGGTCAGAGAAACCAAGTTCAGAAAAAGTAAAATTGTTTCTCCTTTTCTAAATGTAGATGTCTTTATTATTAGTAATTTTACTCTTTATTTATTAGCAAACCAAGCAGATTTCCTTATGCCATTTTTGTACCTACTAGGTTTTGCTTGATCTCTCCCTCATTCTCCCTCCCTAGAGGCTAGAAACCTTTTATTTTCTTGTATCACATGGCCTGCTCTCCCTTAGCCTCTTTCTTCTACTCTGTAGAGTCCCCTATACTACCACTTGAATCAACCAGGTGAAGCCCATAGGCAGTCTATTTTAATTTTCAAATGTGTCCAATTTGGGTCTGAGGATGAAAGGCAGGAGTCAAGTGTAATGCCTTAATACACAGCTAAAGGCTTTTATCATCCCATGCATTAACAGGGTCTTAAAGTCCCAATTTTGTTTATTACAAAAGAAAATTTATTATGAAATATTATTCACTTTAACTTCACAAACATTACTATGATTTTATCTATAGAATGACTCACTGGCCTATAATTAATAGTGTATAAATTAGTAGCACACGGACCACAAGGGTTGAATAATGATTATCAATCAAATCAAATTGCTCACATCTTTTTTTCAGTTTTTTTCTCCCCCCTTTAAAAACATTTTATTTAAACTCAAAGGCTCCAGAGCTTGGTCTGTCTAAATCTCAGAACATAGATACAGCCTGTGGAAATCTGTTCTTTACTAAATGGACAAAGTGGGAGATGCACCAAATATCTACTCCAAAGGTATAATACATTCCAGTTAGAGCAATAATCACATTTCCTTCCTACTTATATGAGCCAACATTTTATCAAGCCAGACTTCTCTTTCACTTTTTATGAACACCATGGGTGCAGCAGACATGTCTAAAAGCATACTGAAAACATATACCTCTGTCCCTGCATCACTGATGATGTGGCTGCCCTACATCTTTTTTCATGACCATCTATCTATATTAGATACCAGAGAAAAGATAACAAAAGGCAGATAACTGTGTGTTCTGGAAGCTGGATAGTCTGTTCCTCAAAAGCACCCTATAAGATGCTAATCTGCCCCATTGTAACTTGGACACATTACTACAGACCAGCAAAGAAACATTTAACCACAAATCTTCAAGGAGTCATTGAATTGCAGCAGCAGCTCTTCAGCAAGTAGAAGTCAAACTTCCACTGGCATACAGAGAATTTTCAAAAGCAAACACATGCAGCTTCTTAGCACAGGGGTTGCCAATGTGCTTAAGGCAATTCTAAAAAACAGGATGGAGGCACAAGGAAGAGGCCAGAGAGAGGCTGAATTCGTATCATAGCATCACTATTCACTGGCCATGTAACTTTAGGTAAGTTACTCTCTGTGCCCCAGTTTCTGACAAAATGAGGATAATATACTGACTGAAAGGAGTTTGTCATGTCCAGAGAAATTATAAAAGTATACTAGCAGTTAGTGGGTGGAACAGTCCTCTGTGGACCAGGTCAAGCATACATTTAGCCACTCATGCTATGTTTTCTGCTTCTCTGACCAGAATGAACTTGTAGATAGGTCCATGGTTGAATTCACGTCTACATAAAGTCAAGTAATCAGAATCAAGGCTAGCAAGATGATGTCAACACACCGCTAATACTGTAATACTAGAGTTACCTTCAATACAAGGTTGTAAAGGGATATTAAGATTTGTTACATAACTGGATTTTAAAAATGATTCTGTCCACATTTGGGAGTCATCAGCAAAAAAGATCTAGAAAGAACCAGTCCAACATTCCATGTCAATGGTGTTTTGGAAAACATTCTTTAAGAAATTATCAGAGGGTGAGGGGAGGGGCAGTAGGAGGAAGGGAAGGGAGGATTAGAACAGCAGGGAATGAGATGGCCAAGGTGGGGAGGGATGCAGTGGAAGAACTATAAAAGAGATATCTTAATAGAGAGAACCACTATGGACTTAAGAGAGAAACCTAGTCTAGGGCAACTCCCAAGAATCCACAAGGAGGACCCCAACTAAGACTCCTAGCAACAGTAGAGAGGATGTCTGAACTTGCCTACCCCTGTAATCACACTGATGAAACCAGACAAAGAGATCCACAACCAAGCACCAGGCTGAGCTCTGGGAATCCAGTCGAAGAGAGGAAGGAGGGAATATATGAGCAAGGGAGGCCAAGATAATGATGGAGAAATCTAGAGACAACTGAATCAAGCTTGTGGAAACTTATGACCTAGGCCCTCTATATGTGGGAGACAGTTGTGAAGCTTGAACTATCTGAGGGGCCCCTGGAAGTAGGAACAGGATCTAATCCTGGTACATGAACTAGCCTACTCCCTATGGTGTGATGCCATGCTCAGCCTTAATGCATGGGAGAGAGTCCTAGCCCTGCCCCAATTTATTGTGCCGGAATATGTTGACCTCTCATGAGAGACCTCACCTGTGAAAAGAAGTGGACTGGGGGTGGGGAGCAGAGGGGTTCGGGAGGAGGTGTGGGATAACTGTGGTTGGAATGCAAAATCAAATTAAAAAATAAAATAGCAAAAAGAAAAAGTTACCATCAGGGGTTGGAGAGATGGCTCAGTGATTAAGAGTACTGGCTACTCTTCCAGAGAACCTGAATTCTATTCCCAGCAACTACATGGTGACTCACAACCATCTATAATGGGATCTGCTGCCCTTTCTGGTATTATGTCCAACATACACAGATAGGGCACTCACATACATAAATAAATCTTAAAAATTACCACCATTATTTGTGTATGTGCCTGTACACACACGCACGCGCACACGCACACACACACCAACACCCAGAACCTACAGAGTTCAACAGAAGGTGTCAGATTCCGTGGAACTGGAATTACAGATAGTTGGGAATCATCATGTGAGTGGTAGGAATTGAACTCAGGTTCAAGAGCCATGTGTACGCCTAACAGCTGGGCTACCTCTCCAGCCCCTGGAAAATGCTTTTGAGTGTACAAAGCATAACCACTGAAGCCTATATGTGTTTGAGTACTGTAGGCAGTTAAGGAAATTAAAAATTTTATTACTCAAATACTGAACTGATCTGGTATGTTGGCTACATTCAATTGAACCAGGTCTAGCTAAGTCTACCATTTTCAGCAATTTAAAAAGCATGTGAAGTGGAAAAAAACATAAGCAGGACATTACACACAAGAGTCTAAAGGACAGTCTAAAGGACAGCAAGAAGCCCTTAGCCACAAAAGACAGACAATACACAAACAGAAGGAAATGCTATTCTTACCATTTATTCGGCCCATGTTCATCCCAGATCCAAATCGCCCCATGTTTTCCATACCACCACCAAAGGGTCCTTCCATGCCTGTAAGAAGTTATTTTAATGTCATCCCGACAAGTCTCTATATATATTCATTAGGCAAGAAAAAAATGTTTTATGTTTCAATTTTGGCATTATGTCAAGAACTTACCAAGCTTTAAAGCTTTTGGTGGGGGGAGTTGGTTCCCTTTTTTAAAAAACAGGCTTGATCCAACCCCCCCTCAGTGAATAAAACAAAACAAACAAACAAACAAAACCCCCCAAAAACAAAACAAAAACAAACAAACAAACAAAAAAACCAAAAGACTCCAAAGAGATGGAACCATTTGCCCAAAGTCACAGAGCTAGCCTGTGAGAAAGTCAGAATCAAAGTCAACATCCATTGGAATGAATGATGGACAAATAAAACAAGTAATTCCCAGACTTAAACTTCTAAAAACCCAAAGAATACTAAGCAAAGCTTGGAAGACAGGAAGATGTGAGGAAAACACTTAAAAAATGATTACACATGTATGTCATTTTAAAATCTTACCTCCAATTTTATTTATTCCAAATCCTATGCCTTCCATTCCCATTCCTAAAAAAAAAAAAAAAAAAAAAAAAAAAAAAAAAAAAAACAATGCAAACTAAGTTTATGTCAACAGTAATGTTTAAACTTAAAAGCACAAAATTCCAAACCAATAAATGAATACAAAACTCTCTGTTGTTATTATATTTCATCAAAGGTGGGGTGGCCACCATTCCAACTGTCAAAATACCTATTGCAAGCAAAAACTTTCAACAGACTAAGTTTAAATGTGGCTTAAAATTACAGCTCATGTAATCTTATTAAGTGACCAGGCAGACACCATTAAAAATAAAATATAATGATCAGACACATTCACTTTTTAGAATGTTGCAGAACAGAAATAGATATTTAATAAAGACCCTATGAAAAGCAAAACTTAAATAATAAAGTAGAGTCTAAAACTACTAAAGCTCTCCCACATCCCCAATCAGAATGTGCTAAGAATGGTATTGGTTGAGGCAGAGGAGCATCCATAGCACTACTTCAAATAAGTCAAAATCTAGATTCAAAAGAATCAAATATGCCTTAGTAGCATGGAAATGCACTACATACAAACTTAATGATGAACACAGACATTCTTCCTTGTGACCCATGAGTTTTGCCATGCATAAAAGCTTTTAAAACTCCTTTTATTCTATCAGTGCCCACAACTCTAGAAAAAAATCATGTCAACCTCAGGTGCAAAAAATAGTCTTCTTGACAGACTTAGAGCACCAATGGCAGAGCTGTGGTACTGCAATTGCAACCTACACCATTATTCAGTGTGACACTGGGTGAGACCAACTCTATTCTATACCTTGCCTCCTTCTACTGAATGGCCTATCTCTGCTCAAAAGTTATTATGACGCTAAGATGAAGACGCACATTGGCTTAAGAAAATTTTTTTCAACTCAAAAAAACAAAAAAAAAAAAAAAAAAAAAACACTGCTTTTATGGACATGAGGCGAAGATGAAGAGGGGATTTTGTGCCAATTGTGCCACTTATTCTATTTGAAAAACTCCAGATCCAACTACCCTAATAGTGGGCTTTAATAAATTGAATTTCCCCAGTTATCCCCAGTCTAGGCATACTGTAATTCATACCTGCAGGCCCTAGGTTTCCCATTCCAATGCCTTTGTTCAAGTGGTTGGCATCAATAGGCTGCCCTCCAGGTCCTAATCCCATGCCAATACCACCAAGTCCATCTGGAAGAAGCAGAGAAAGTCAGGAGTATGGATTCCCTTTCTCAAAACATGGTGACCCCCAGAGGCAAAACAACTGGTATATTCTAGCTGCCATACTTCATCCCTAGATCAAGCAAGCCAGGGTCTAACTTGACTTCAACACTTATACACCTGTATACCTGGTTGAATATTGCTCTTATGAAGGTACACCATTTTACATGCAGCCAGACTGGAGTATATAATACGTACTTAAGCAATAAAGGCAGCCAACAAGTCATTTCCCATATTCCCAAGATGGCTCAGGGGTAAAGGCCTTATTCCCAAGCCTGAAAACTTGAGTTCTAACTCCAGAAACTATGTGATGGAGAAAACTGGTGCCTACAAGTTGTCCTCTGAACTATAAGCCTGTGTACATGTATACATATACACTAAATAAATAAGTGCACTAAATGAGTAAAATTATCATAGCCCCACTACACAGCTCTAGCTCAAACTCAAAAAAATCCACATGCCTTCTGAATATTGGGATTAAAGCTGTGTATAATGCCTGACTGAGCCCCCCCCCCATTTTTTCCCCAAGAAATCTAACCTGTTTCCCTCACCCCCCTCTTTTAGATACAATATCTCACTATGCGGCCCAAGGATGGCCTCCAACTCGAGATCATCCTGCCTCTACCTTCTGAGTTCTGGTTCCACAGATCTGTGTCACTACCTCAGGAATTATTAAATTGATACCCAGTGTGTCTTCACTGCTATGCTCCACAAACACAAACAAGAACCTAAGAATACAGACTGGTATCTGGGAACAGTCACCAAAGCCTAGCACTTAAATCAAGGTAAAAAAAACAAACAACAAAAACCCTTGACAAACTCTAGGTACTTAATCTGGCTAACAAACTAGGTTTTTTAATTGCATGGCAACAGCTCCAAGGAGTCGCCAAGGCTTACTTACTACTCCAACACACTCAAAGCTCTGAGGTCAACCCTTTGAACCATGCCAAAAGAAAAAGAACCAGGATAATGGGCTCCCTAGGGTTCAGTGCTCCTTTACCTCTAGAGCAAGTGTCAACAAGAATCACAGTAAACATGCTAAGTGGCCACTTACTTGCACACGGGTGGTAAGGAAATATGGTCCTTTCAACAGACAAGCCATCTTCTATCTATCTCTCTGACACTTTTTTTTTTGGGGGGGGGGAGATACTGGGCAACTTGAACCCCCTAGCCAAGCACTCAACCACTGAACATTATACCCGATGCTCTGATCTATTTTTAAAGGCACAGGCCTCTTTCAAGCTAGCAATCATCACAATTTCATTCACTTTTTCGTCTAAAAAAAACCAGCCGTGGTTAGCAGTCACTCTTCAGCAACCACTAAATTGCTACCTTTTAGAGACACCTGCCTACAGATGGAACCGAGTTTTACCTATTCTTCACAGTGTCTGCATTTCCTTTCTTCTCACTCTCTTTTTAACTAAGCACTACTACATCAATTAAATCTGCCAGATTTTACTTATCTATCCATAAGCTAAATGGATCACTTCCAATAACCCATCCACTTTTCAGAGAGAATCTACCTATGTATCCATGTTGGCTTTAAACTCATTATTCATATCCTTTAAACTCTGAGTGCCACAACAGGTATGAACCATCAAGCCTGGCTTGATTTTTTGACTACCGAGTCACACTACTCTAAACATCTATATCATTTCTTCGTGTTAATCCTTGGAACATACCTGAAAGGGGGAACTACTAGACTACATAGCAAAATCCAGTGCAACTTGGCATTCATTACCTTTGCAATTTGTTTGTCAAACCACCCCAAGTACTTAATTTTGCCCTCTAAATCTGGGCCGCCGGCCTTACCACAGTGTAATCCAACAGCCCTTCTTATAAACAAACAAACAAAACTGTGTGTACAACAGAGTAAGACAGTGCCTTAGCTACTTTCCAATTTCTGAGAAAAGATAAGACACCACCACCAAGATAACCTAAAAAGCAGGGAGTGTGGCAGCAAGAAAGCAGACATAGTGCTATAGTAGTAGTTAGGAGCTCCCATCTCTACAAGCAGAGAGCTAACTAGGAATGTTGTGGGCCTTTGGAAGATTAAAGCCTGCTCTAGTGACATACCATCTCCTATAGGCCACACTTCCTAGTCTTTCCCATACAGTACCACTAACTGGGAACCAAACATTCAAGTGTATCAGCCAATGAGGGTCATTCAGACCACCACAGACAGACAAGACAGCATGTATGCATGTCTTGGTGCACAAGCAGAGGTCAGAGGACAACTTGTAGAAATCAGTCCTCTTCCTCCACCATGTGAGTCCCAAGATTGAACTAAGGTCATCAGGTTTTGAATCAAATGCTGTTATGCTCTGAGCCAGCGCCAGTATCTAAAACTCAAGTTGTGAATTTTTCCACTTATTTCTTACCCTGAAAAATTTATAGAAAAGACTGGCCTAGACATGCATGGCAGTACACACCATTAATCCCAGCACTTGGGAAGCAGAGGCAGACAGATCTCTGTATAGCCAGGCCTACATAGTACAACCCTGGGTGGGTGACAGACAAACAAATTGATCAAGACACCCCAAGTCTAATCTTCCACAAATGTAAATACATCTGTAACAGTTTTCCTATTTGGTATAATTCAAAAACTTACGGGGAAGTTGCTGTGGTCGTTCAGGAGGGAAAAAATCTCCCTTGGGTAAGGCCCTCTCATCCTGGAAAGGGGGGGAAAAAAAAAAAGGGAAAAGACCTCAATATAGCAACAGCAAGAGATGGAAACAATTACCACCAACAACTAGTTAGAGGCTAGGTGCTGTGCTGCACATCTCTAATCCTCCTAGCACTTGAGAGGCTTAAGCAGAAGGATCAGGAATTTTAGGCCAGCTTTGTATACACAAGTTCCTGGCCATTCTGGTTACATGAAATTGTTACAAAAACAAAAGATAAATAATACTAACAAGAATCAGGTTTGGAGATGTATCCCAGAAGTTAGCACCATGTGTCACTCCCTAGCACTATGGAAAAAGCAAAAGTTTAAACCAAAAAATCAGATAACCAGTTAAATATTAAAAAAAAAACCATGACACAGAATAAGCATATCAAACATAAAGAAGTATGTAGGATCATGTTTTTATCTTCTGTGCCAATAGGAAGGATAAAAATACATTTGTAATACTGGGTTGGTGGGTTAGGACCTAAGCAAGAAATACAGTGAGGCTCACACCACATTTTCTTTTTTTTGAGGCCTATGAATCCATTAGCTATTCAAAGTAGCAAACTATTTTAAATAACAAAAAGGCATAGTTCCTTTTATCTTATTCCTGAATGCAAATCCTAACCAGACTGCCCTCAACAACTTCCAGCACTATTTCTATTAATTGTTATTGTTTATTAAAACTGAACTCCAATAGACCTTTAAAAGCTGTCTGAATCAAATACTTGCTCATCACAGATGTTATACTAACCAAACACTATATGTAATACTTTGAAAACTGGAGTTCTATGCAAAGGATTCTTTCTCACTCATCACTTGCTCAGGCAGGATATTCAACAGACTTCTTGAACATAGCAGTTAAAAGTCAACCAGACAAAAGTCATGAACAAGACATGTATCAGCAAAGGTACACATCACTCTACAACCTACTAAATAATGACATGCAGGTTTAGTTTAAGGGCTAGATGTATAGCTTCAGTAACTACATTTTTGCTAACTTATTTAACATATTACATACAAAGAAAATAATTCTAGTAACTCACCATTTTCACGTGCATTGGTCTATCAAACAGCAGCTGGCCATTGAACATAGCTGGTATTACAATTAAGGATACAACTAAGGCTATTTCTAACAACTGTCAAAGCATGCAAGATAAAATGACAAAAAGAAAACAGCTCTATAGCTACCAGTCCTCTCTGTGAATTCATGAGAAATTTCAACTCTTGAGGTGTGAGGCTTTGTGATCTTACACTACAAAATTTTTCTGGCCTAAGTAATTGCAGCAGTTTTCTGTGTGTTTAGCAGGCCAAGAGTCCTATCATTTCATAAGTATTATATTTTCTGGGTAAGGTACCCAGGAACGGTCTCCTTCTCCTGAGTTTAATTCCTGTATTCATATGTCACACACTATACTTTTTAAAAGATGCAAACCCCAGGGCAAGCTTAAGGCAAGGAGATGAGGCCTCTTCAAACGATGTCTACTCCTAAGAGACAAAAGGTCCATAAGGGTAGTACAAACTAAAAGCCCCAGTTCTCCTAAGTAGTCCATTTCCTAAACTCCTCTAAAGACACCAGGAAAAAAAAAAAATTCATAGCAGTGCCTATAATGCAACCACACCTTCTATCCATCTGTGTTCCACTCCAGAAAATTTCACATTCTGTAGTAATTTATTCACTCTAGTCACAGAGAAAAATACAGTTATTTCTACCTTTATTATAATATACTATTAGTTTGCCATAAGCTTAACTTCCACAGAAGGATACATATAGCTTGGACAGCTTCAATGGATTGTTCAAAAGTCACAGTGCCTATTCCACGGCTTTTCCCATCTTTATCTTCCAGAATGTCTGCTCGGACCACCACACCAGCCATACTAAATACTTCCTTCAGTTTCTTCCAGCCAACTTTATAATCCAGCTAGGTGAAAGAAGAAGGTAGAAACCTCAAGGTAAACCTCTTGGGGGAAAAAAAGATTTGTTTTTTTAACCACATTAACAAGACTTGCTTTGGCTGACTTCACAAGAAAATCAACTTAAGTAGAATTTTTCAAGTATGATTGCAGAGTCTGGCCTTAACTCTATTTACAGTCTCCTTAAATGGTACAGCTTAAGTCTCCTCACATTTATTGAACTAATACCCGCCCCCCTCCCCATAGTTTTTAAAAAAAAAAAAAAAAAAAAAAAAAAAGGCAGCCAAGCAGTGGATAGCACACACTTTTAATCCCAGCATTCAGGAGGTAGAGGTAGGTCTACAGCAAGAGAACTCCAGGACAGACAGGGCTACTTAAAGAAACCTGTCTCTAAAAACAATCAGTAAAATAAAATAAATGGGAAAAAAACAAAAAGAACAAAAAAGTCATCCCTCCCCCACTTTTAAGTCTTAGCAACACTCCTGAACACTTTGTTCTAAAAGTATTTGTCCTTGCAGAGGATAAAGATATCCTCATTCACACCAGACACAATAAACAGCTAGGAATAAACTGCTCACTCTTGCCCTGTACCAAAACTAAACTAAATAAACCCCAATAAGGATGCAAACCCAGCTAGTGATTTTCTAACATCTGAAAAGCTCAGTAAACAAGACCCCAGTAGGATAACCCTGAAGCTGCAAATGCAATGACCATAAGAGAACAAAGCCCAACCCAAAGTCTACTTTAAAAAAAAAAAAAACACTATCTTAAGCCCACTACTTTAATAAATCACTTGTATACCTGTGACATGTGATCAGTATAAAAAGTTGTCTATTTTTTAATTTAATATAAATTAAAAATTTTCCCTACATGCATACTGTTTTCACATTGTTTCCATCCCTCCCCATTTACTTACATTTGCTACAAATACCGTGCTTCCAAGTCTTCCAGCCTGTAATGCATGGATAATCTCATTTGGGATGTTAGGATTATTTAGGATACTGGGTGGGATATTAATCATTCCTGGGCCACCTGGTCCCATACCCATCCCACCAGTCGTAGCCATCACCTTTTGCATTGCTCTCCTTGCATGTTCACCATCAGGATCCTGAAAGAAGCACAAAGTGTTACAGCCAGAAGTTGGTTAGAAGTAAACCGCAGAGACAGTGGAATTGCTGCCTTCACTACTGCAGAGGCTCTCTTCTGCTGGGGTGCAGCTCAGTGGCAATAGCGTTTACATAGCATTTACAAGTGTAACCCTCAGCATAAGTAAGTTTAAAAAATTAAAATTTTAAAAGGACTCTCAGTAAAACATGGTACCAGTGGAAAAGGTCTGTAAACTCAACCCTCAGGATTGCAATTCAAGGCCTGACTGAGCTACAGGTCCAACTCAAAGCCAGCCTAGGCTAGCTAAGTGAATCCTTGTCTCAAAATAAAAGGTAAAAAGCTTCAGGTGGGTCTCTGTTAACAGTCCAATCTGATGCCCCTGGCAGTGTACTCACTGTCTTCTTAAAATCAGATGATACAACTTAGTGGCAGAGCTTATCAAGCAGCACAATTATGTGCCAGGTACTTCCATTTTCAACACTGAATAAAAACAAAACAAGCAAACAAAAAACCTGCAAAGACCAAGAGACAGTTTGAAAGGCATTTCTCAAATTTTTAACAAGAAATAAATCATAGCAATCAGAAGAGTTCTAGAAAGAGCAACAGTTCAGAAACAAAGAACATAAAAATCAAAAGCTGAAAACAATGTTCAACTTAACAAAAATGAAAAGTAGGGGAATAAAAAGATTGGCTGACCCAAAAAGTTGAAAATTCTATACTGAAACAAGATCTTCAGGTATGGGTGAGTCTTATTAACTAGTGTAATTTGTATAAAACTCAATGATTTTTCAAAGTTTAAAATCACAGCTCTATAACCTCAGGTTTCCCAAAAATCCCTCAAGGGCATCAGGTGCTGGTACTCAAAAACTGTACTTGAGTACAGTCAATACAGTGTATTGGCACCTGTACAAAATTATGGAAATCTGATGCTGGCATGATTATCTTATTCTTATTTGTGCTTATGTGTCCTTATAGGGGTGTATGTATGTGTGGACATGCTAAGAGAGGACAGAAGAGTTTCACATGGTTGTGAGCATCTGTACTTGGTACTGGGAATCAAATGCAGACTCTCTCTGGAAAAGCAGCAAGTAATGTGTTATAGTCACTGACCACTAAACTTGCACAACATAATTCCTGAACCCTGCTTCCTCAATTAGTGCTAGCAACACATAAGAAATGACTGATATCCTACCATACTTTCCTTCAAGTCCCAAATAAAGTTGTCCTTCTTAAAAAAAAAAAAAAAAAAAAAAAAAAAAGGACAAGAAGGGTAGGGTAGCACCTGCTTTTAATGTCAGAACTCAGACAAGTATGGTTTTAAGCTAGCCTAACATATACAGCACAGATATGTTCTTAAGACACCTACACCACTCCCCTCCCCCAACACATATCATCAAGGAGGTAAATAACACTGGCAGTAGCATTAACAAAACTACATACTAGAGAATAAAAAGTACTGGAAGTCAGGAACATAGTTCAGTGATAGAATGCTTGCCTATTATGCAAAAAGCCCTGAGTTCAATCATTGGAAACACAGAACAAAAACAACGAAAGAAACTTGGTTTGGATTTAAAAGATAATAAACTCATTCTACAAAATTAAAAAAGGCATGGGGAGATGGCTCAGTGGGTAAAGTGAGCAAGCTTTAGCCACCTCAGCCACCCACATAAAAGCTGGGATACTGCCACATGTTTTCATCTCAGTCCTGAAAAGAATGGGAAACAGGAAGATCTCTGAGGTCCACTAGCCTGCCAGTTTAGCTTCAACAGTGAGCCCCGGGTTCAGTGAGAACACCTGATCTCAAAAAATAAGGTGGAGAGTGACAGAGGATGACACTCAACATTCACCACTAGCATGAACACCTGTGCACACCGAGGTATATACCACATACACAAAAATAGTTGTACTATAACACATCACTGCAATCTCAGCATTTAGTAGGATGAGACAGGGATCCCAAGTTTAAGACCAACCATGGCTTCACAGCAAGACTCTGTCTCAAAAAACAAAACACACGCACGCGCACGTACGTCAAGGCTAGCATTCACTAGTGGATATAAGACTCTTATACAATTCCAATTATAAAACTAGAGGCTCAGATTATGTGTTCCTAAGACAACAAAGATTGAAGAGTGGCCAATTTAAGTTACCCAGGATCTGCTCAACTACTATTACAAAGTTCCTGCAGAAGTAGCTGTTGAAACCTGTCACTATCTTCAATTAAAACAACAGGCTTGAGTTATGGCTGTTATCCCAGCAGCAAGGAAATAAGGGCAGGAAGATCATGAGCTCATGGGCAATCTTGACTACAAGCCTATCTCAAAAGAACAGAGAACGGAATAAACCAAAATAATAGGCTGGTCTACTCAATCCATTTTAGTCACGGACCATTCTTATCTTCACCAAACAATTATACCTTACTTTTGAGCTGGGAATATAATTCAGTGGCAGATTGTTTTCTTATTATGTACAAGGCCCTGGGTTCCATCACAAACACCAAAAGGAGGAGGGAAAAAAAAAAGCTCACTTCTTTGACTTTCAGTGGTCTTCCACTCAGACTATGCTTGTTTAAAACTTCAGCAGCTTTTTTCATGCTCTCTTCCATCTTGAATTCAACAACACTATAAAAGAGTCAAAAGCAAATAAACAAAAGCAGTCCTACAACTTGGAAATTCAAATGCCAGTATGAGTAAGTAGGTGATACTTACGCGCATCCCTTTGAAAGAAGCCACAGACCAGTCAGAAGAGCAAGGGGGAAAAAGAAAAAAACAAAACAAAACAGTAAATACCAATGACAGTTATGAACAAATTAAAAGATATGATTTATGTAACAAAAGTCAGGATTTTAAAAATCAATCCTTCTAAGGGGAAGCTGACAGAAGTGAATGACCTAGCCTTCCTCATAAAAAGCTTGGGGTTCCTTAAATTTCCTTTTCCTACACATAACCAGCACTACACTAAAGCTGCTAAATTATAATAAGCAGACCTAAATCAGGTTCTCCAAGAAATCACACAAACTTTTGATCTGCTTCCCTCTGTACTCAATCAATCCTTACCATAGTCCTACTAAATCCATCCTTTCCATAAACTAAGCTCATCCTTTTGATTATTCTAAGCCATTCTATTGCACAACAGAAAATAGTTTATATTCTCATTAAACTAAGCCAATTTTGAACATTCAGGTTTGTAATATGTGGTTTACAATTTACTGGCAAAGGCTACTTTTCAGAATCTTTGGTTCACACAACTTTCAAATCAGCAAACAACCAAGAATAACATTTTCTAGACAAGAACACACTTTTACTTTAATTATACCACCGATAAAATTCCATGCATAATTCACACACAGCCAATTCCTGTTAAACAAAGAGACAATACTGCTATTGGTCCCCAGTTATCCAAATTGGGCATCCAAACAGAATACCAGAAAGCTCTTTGGCCAGCCATTTGGAAAAGCGGGACTCCCATTTGCAAGCCCCCTCCCACCCTACTGGGATGTTGGCAGAAAAAAAATCAAACGTGGCTACAATAACATGAGCACTCACTGCCTTCCTGATTTCATTCGAGTCCACGCCACCATACAGTTACATTTGTCATGTAGTAAATCCACAGAAGAAATTCTCTCAGACACTTACCCTTGACTTTCCTTCAGCGTCCATTAAGAGCTCCACGTATGTTACCTCACCAACTACAAATCAGTTTCCAGACGACACATAAACCAAGGGAGAAAAGCCAAGAAAACAATGGGAATTTAGAACAATCATCAGCAACCTTGTATGGAGCCTCTGCCTTATAAGAAAGCCCAGAAACACTCCATATTCTCTAAACCACCAAACTAGGCATTACAGGTGTGCAGTAAAATAGGTGAAAACTCATTAACAATATGTCCTTGATTTTCCTCCCACCACAAACACACTACTTCCACAGATTTCCATTATCAATTTCCCTATCTATCTGTAATGCTCACTCATGACTAGAGGCAATCCAAATCTGCAGGAACGAATTCTGCAAGACTTACTTTCAGGGGAAGGAAGAAGTCAGATAAACAGCACATATGTCAAAATACCACAGAACTGACCTGATATACCACAAATACAAGAATGTGCCTATACACAAACCAAAAGGCATATAGACACAACCTCAGGGCCAGGGTTGTGTGTGCAAAAAACAGAGCCCTGTGCTGCTTAGGTTTTTAGTACCATATGGAAATTTCTAATGTTAACAAGAGGACCATCATTTTGTACTGGGCCTCATAAATTCTATAGCTGAATCCAAGGCACCACAGTTTGAATAATGACTATACCATTGTTAAATCAGAAGAGCATCAGGCCTTATTCTTATCATTCTCTAAAACCCCCATAAAGAGGGTACAGATTCAAGTTTGAGGCTCAGTTGGCAACAAGATAATTAAACAGAGTGCAATGATTCTAAGCTATATGCAAAGGAAGAAATAGCAAAGATGTCCAAAATTTCTGCAGATTCTCCTCAAGGTCTGGATTGCCAATTCATGACCACCATAACCAGATGTTAGAATCCATCTAGACAACTTCCAAAATGGCTGCTGAACTTGAAGATGGCTCAAAGCATTAATTTGCAGAAAACAACCTCTAAATCCCATTTCCAAAGTTTAAAAATGGAGATGGGGATGATTTCTTAGGAATCAATCACCCTTTCTTTAGAAGGGTGGTTATATTAAAGTCTTTAACTCATGCAGGTTTAGCAGTGCAAGGGTAAAAATAACCCAGTAATAGCCTTGACAGGTCCTTCCCTACTTACAACTCCTTTGTTTAAAGGATTTAGAATTAGGATTTTCTGAATCAATACAGAAAGATTCAAATGGAAAACAAAATTATTTCACAAACACAATGAACTTATTAATGGAGTTGCACAGTAGCTGAAGGCCAAATGTTCAAAGTTTATTTTATAACCTCACCCTCTTTGCCATTTCCTGAAATGTTACTGAACTGTACTTTGCACAAAACAAGGACAATCAGTGCAAAGAAAGAAAAAGGAAATGGAAGGGACCATTATAGGTGACTTTGAGTACATATTTTGTACAGGCAAATAATAACAAAGACAACAAAAATTGATCACAGCCAAGGGACAAGTTATCAGGTTGGGTTTATTTTACACTCATAAAAGTTAAAGTAGTTCCAAAACTCCATGACCATTTCTGAGCCATGTTTTTAAAAAGCCACTTATTTCAAAAGCAGCAGCCATTCAAGGACCAACAGCTCTTATCTCCACTGATGAAAATGCCTAGTGTCAAACCAGTGAAGAAACCCCAAGTTTATCTCCTACCAGCTGTGACTACTGCCCAATAACCTTAAATAAAAGAATCACAATATCAACCTCAAGACAACTTAAGCTTGTCAGAATCCAAAGACTCTTGCATTTGAAATTTCTAGCTTGTGTCCAAATGACACTTTAATCAAAATGATGTTACTGCAACCTAGAAAACAACAAAGTCCAAAACAAACTTTTTCCACAGTCATAAATAACCATTTTAACAAAATACCAAGTTAAGAAAATTATATCTTTTTCCACTTGACATTCTAGTGATGACACACACCCAGCTTCAATCCTGTGCACTATAGTTTGATTATAAATGGTCTCCCTTTTAGAAATTTCTCAGTGGGTCAGAAACAAGTATTTCTAAAATGTGACACGCTCAGCAATAACTACAATTCTCACAAGTTTGTAATATTCCAATCTTGATACCACGAGACTTCATGTGGTTACTCCTGTTTATAATTCTCACTTTTCTAGAGAAAGGTAATCATGAAAGCTTTAAAAAGGGAACAGCCTCTTTGTTTTCGTATGTCAATGATTTGTTTTGTGTAGTCAGGACAACTTATCCACAAGATTTTAGTGCAGAATTTGTCAGCTAGTCAGGAGGTGTAAGTTAGAAGAAGGTAGCAGTCTCACAAGTGAAAACTCCAAATAACTAAATAATGGTACAGTTCCTTGGTCCCAACTGGGACAGAACCCACAGAACCACAAGAGCAGACTGCTACGACAAATCTACTGCAGCTTTAAATGTCAAAGTATCTAAATAAAAGAAGACTTAAAAAGAAACAAATATACAGAAGCCAAAGCTTTACTGAAGGAAATACACTTGTCTAGAGCTAGGAACTGACTTAGGACATTTCACCTTTTCTTTCTTGGATTTTTTCTTTTTTTTTTTTTAAATGTGTTTGCCTTGACTATGCCTCTGCATACACCAGTATAGCTGGCTTGTGACTTTCTAAGGATTCTGCCATCTTGTAGGACCAGTGAGTTTACTGTACTTTAGTTGTGGGGAATCAAGCTAAGGTCTGTATGCTTATACAACAAGTAGTTTTATCTATAGAGCCAGTCCTTATTTTGTTTTTTTGAGACAGGGTCTCATGCAGCCCAGGCTTGCCTCTAAATTCTCTATCCTTCTATCTTCACCTCTGAAGTGTTGGGATTATAGGAGTGTCATCATACTTGAATCAATTTTTTTTAAGGGACATGTGTATGAAAGAAAGCAGGACACACTGTTGAGCATGTTTTCTTTGCATCATAATGCTCAACATTCATTCAGTCAATCTACAGATTAAAGGCAAATTAAAGACAACTTCAGCTGGGAGCATGCCTTTAGCTCTTGAAGACAGGTGGATTTCAAAACCAGTCTGGTCTAACATAATAAAGCCTTGTCTCAAAAAGAAAAAAGAAACAACTTCAAGTATGGTAAGCTATTCTACACAATGAGCTGGCTGAGACAAAATACATGGTGATAAGCATGAACTTTCTACTACTTTTAGCAACAACCAGAGAAAAGACTTACAGGCTGTACTACTGGGGCTCAACAGCAGTTCTTAAACATGAGTGTTTCTGCATAGCAGGCTTTGTAAAATAACAGCTCAATTTCCAATAGGAAACTATGAAGAATGCTAGGCGGGAACTTTACTGAAATTGAAAGCTTTGCCTCACCAACCCACAATGTAAATTATTGCAGAGAACCAGGAAAGGCTTTCTATTGGACTACCCTTGCCCTCTGGGCCTCAGTTTTCTGTCAGCAGGAATCTGAAATTTACTCAAAGTGATGATCATTAAATAATAACAGATGGATTAAAGGCTTAAAGAAATCTTAGCTTATACAAATTAAAGTGATTGCTGCTAAACTAGGATTTGAGAGTAAACTGTATCACTGACTTTTCTTTCTTCCTCAAACTAAGCAGTGTTTATTCACCGGTGCAGCTTAGTCCTGCCTGGGTGGCAGCTGCCCCACCTCCACATAGCTAGTTCCCTAGGCAGACCAGGAAACAAGAAGCCCAATTATTATTAGGCTTTTTGAGACAGCGTTTCTCTGTGTAACCCTGGCAGTCCTGCAACTTTTTACACCAGGTTGGTCTCAAACTGAAGAGATCCACCTGCCTCTATCTCCAAAGTGCTGGGATTAAAGGTAGAAGCCACCATCGCCTGGCAAACAACATCATTTTAAGATAGAAGAAAAAAAAAAAAAAAATCTCTAAGAGAAATCTTCATTCTGGTACCCAATCCTTACAGTGAAACACTTATATGACAATATCCCATTTTCTGAGTACAAACAATAAAAATTATTTTCAAACATAGTTCTGCAACCTAATTTAAATTCATGTAAAAATTGTTCCCAATTGTTTTTTCAATCCAGGAACTCTGGTGTCACAACCATTCCCTCCATTAAAAAAAAAAAAAAAGGCTGCTCAAATTATGGAAGTCACCTGCCACCCCAGCAATTGTCTGAAGCAGCCTGGGATATATGAGAAACCCTGTCTCAAAAAAAAAGTCAAATAAAATAAGCCTTCACTTTGGGATACCAGCAGTGGGCAGGTACTCAAGCAAAGAGCAAGGTCCAAAAAACAGCATCTTAACCCTGGATCCCCACTGACAAGAGTTGGGCAAAACAGCAACATGGGTCAGAGGAAGAGGGGAAAAAAAAAAAAAAAAACCAAGAAACCACTCTTCATGCATCTTGTCTTAAAAATGGGCAATACTGATTTCACCACAGCACCACCAGACAAGCTTTGTATCATTTTCCAAGGGGAAAGTGCAAGTGACCAGGTTTTTACCAGATCAATAATAGACTATTCTAAAATGCTGCTAACAGGTAAAATTAAACAAAATACACATTCAATATCAAAGAAGGGGAAGATCAGAAGTCAGGAAATGGTACATGAGATGCGATCACCAGCACTGGCTTTTTAAGTTCCTGTCTTGTTCTGAAAGACTGCAACTAAAGACACTTGCAATGGCAGAGACTGATGGTAAAGACAACTAATTATAGCTCTTATTCCAGGAGGACAGGGCTTTCTAAAGGTAGACTGCAGATCAGAAAAACTGCTTTGATTATGCCAGCCTAATCTCTGTGATTTGTTTAGCTAGGGTTACTATGAAACCAATCCTTTTAGGGTTTAAGAACCTTTATCTGCCAAAATTTAGGATTTTATGACAACACATTAAATTAATGCTTTAATCCCAGCACTCTGAAGGCAGAGGCAGTTGGATCTCTATGGACTCCAATGCAGTTACCCTGGTCCACACAGTGAGTTTCAGGGCATCCAGTTACATAGTGAGACCGTTTCAGAAAGAAAGAAAAAGAAAGGAAGATAGACAGGACAGAAGAAAGAAAGAAAAGGAAAGGAAGGAAGGGTGAACTAGCAATATATTTTAAAAAATTAAACAAGAATAAAAAATTTTAAATCTCACAATGAAAACAAGAACATTTAAGAAGCATTAAGAATACAGCAAATAGCTTTAAACTTCACACATTGAATCTAAACATTACTACAGAAAAAAACCTTTCTCCTATGAATCACTTAATTCCCAATCCAATACTGCTAATTATGTAGACAACAGAGTAATTAGTTTAACCTGTACTGGGGAGTGCTAAACAAGAACATTTTAACATTCAATAAAAAGAAGATTTACTGCACACCTGTAATTCTGAGTTACACCACCAAAAGTACACTGAGAGGGAGGACACCCACATCCATGGCAGTACGCCAGGGGAATATGAGAACCAGTTTGGAAGGATCCAAATAACCACCAGGCTGGCTCCACACTTAATACAGGACAAAATAGTAAATTGAGGTGAACTGCTTCTACATCCAGAAACGTCATGCCTGCTGCTGCTACCAGCTTCATGGCTTCCAAAACAGAATTACTGAATGATAAAGCAGTAAAAATGTCACCTACTTTATCCATCATGTCCCAAAACTGGTTCACACACTCCTAAAAATGAAAAAGTAGTTTGGCCTGCAATCTCTTACAAACTCTAACAATTGCATTTTCAAAGCCACATTCCTGGTTCTTGGAACTACTATACCTTATTATCAATAGAGATAACAATTCAGTGGTTCAACCAAATCACAAGAACACAAATTTGGGGTTATTCCAAAAACTATTTCGAATGAGATCCAACTGTACTATACAGAAATTCTAAAGCTTGTATTAAAGCAGCAGTCCCAAAGAACCAAGAACACTGTATCTGGGATGCCACATTACACTCCCGTCAGACAAAAGAAACTTCACTCTTGCTCTAGGAGGATTGGCAGGAATGATTTGGCTGATCAAGGCAGGAAACAAATCTCACACCAAAACATTTTTTCATCTGTTTTTCTGAGAAATACCACATGAGAGCAGCACATATGACTGTGAAGGTTCACAGTGCCTAGTGCTTCTTGCATGTCATGGTCAAGTAAGTAATGGGATAATGATGGCAGTGGCCACTCAGTTTCAAAACTCAATACTGGGGTACCAGTACACACACCAAAAGGGCCATCCAAGTGGCATCTTTGTCACTAGGATTAATCATTCGACAAATCAAGCTCAAATCTCTCTTCATTATGAATGCTCCAGAAAACCAATACCTTTCAGTCCTTCAAAAAGACTCCATTAAGGGTGATTTGATCCTAGGTTCCCTTGGGGGAAAAGAGGAGTCCATGGCACCCTACCTTATCTAAACCAGGACCCAGCAATCTCTTCAGTCCTGAGAGCCACCATCAGGGCTAAGAATCAGGAAGGAAAGGAGGACAAGAGCAAAGAGAGTGCAGGAGAGGGCGACGAACCCATGTGCACAGGCAAAGTGATCCCTTTGGACCTCCAGGTGGCAGAGGCCCTTAGTCGCCTGACCTGTCTTAGGCCAGGATTTGGAAGCCTGGGCTGGGACACCATACACCCTTATGGCACCACATGCACAGATGACTTGATCTCTCCCATAGCCCATCTCTGACTTCAGAGGAGAGCTCACAGTTAAAAGATCCCGTTGCAGAGTTTAGAATCTGAGCAACAGACATTCCAGGCACCAAATTTTGATTCCAGGACACCCACAAAATTTAAAACTATCTCTTAGCCAGAGTCTTAAAAAACTTAAAAGATAGAAGTAAATTAAAACACACAGATACACACACACATACACACACACACACAAAACAAACAAAATAATGTGAAGAATTTGGTAAATTTCCTTAACGTAAAAACACTCCCCTCAAACCTAACTGAAGTCCCAATAACCATATTAAGCCAGTAAAAACATTTGGTCAAGGGACCATATAAATCACCCTATTTACACGAGGGCATGAATACAAAAAAGGGTGGGGAGATCTAGGGGTAGCTCTAAACCTGAACAGAACACATGCTCTTCCTAGAGCAGCTTCCACTGACAAAAAAAAGAAATTAAGTCACAGAGAAGATGACACACCAACCTTCTTACCCTACTCCACCACCAGTACCATTACCTTTTTCTTTAACCAGGTCTTTAAGTGACTGCCATTTTACATCAAAAGGTATGTTGGTAATGAAGGCTCTGTATCTTTTAGTTGGATTGGTATATGGCTCAAAGCGATTGCCTCCTCTTTTTATGTTTTTCTCCTTCCTCTTCTCATTCTGAGTAGGTCGTTCTCCTTCACTGTATTCAAGAGAAAAAGTTTCTATGTTAGTAAAAGGAAAAGCCACTATCTGTGGTACCAGGTTCATAATCACACACAGTTAAGTATGACACAAGATCGATGTACAAGAGAAGTGTGCTACCCTAGGCTTAAGTATGGTTCTTTATACTATATAACACATACACATACATATCATCTAAATTTGCAAAATACACTATCTGTCAATGCATCTCAACGTGTTTCTTGGCAAAAACAAAACCACAGTTCTTCAATTATACATCAATCCACTTGTCACCACCCACCAGAGAATCTACGGAAAGAAATGTATTTAAATATAACTTTCTTTTAAATCCCAAATATTTATAAAGTTTTACATTTAAAAACATGGGCAAGTGCTCGGTGGTGGCACACACCTTTAATCTCAGAACTCAGGAGGCAGAGGCAGTCAATCTCTGAGTTCAATGCCAGCCTAATCCAAGACACAAGACAACTAGGGCTACACAGAAAAACCCTGTCTCCCCCCCCCCCAAAAAAATCAGTAACATAGTAATACTTTCAGTCTATTTTCATAGACTACTCAGCTTACCTGCTAATTAATTATAACTACATAAGTAGAGTACAGCAGGTAGTCAAGTATCTAGCCCATATTCTCCTGATCCACCACAGCAGCTGGTGTTTGGTTTGAGGGTAAACCACATCACATAGCTCAGCACTGAAAAGTAGCTCACTGAGTTTTACTACTCAAAGGGCAGCACAACTGCAAACCAATCCTGCTCTGGCCAATCTCTTGCTGGGAAGTTTCCTCATAAGCAAGTGAGGTTTGAACTCTCTTGTTTTCAACTTTTCTGAACATATACCGATTACCAAATGTATTCTTTGCAGAGTCAGAAATCTTACTCAAACATACACAAATGCAGATTATGTAACAGGTAGTATACCACAAAGTTCATTTTACACTTCCCAATGCTATTTTTATCATTTGCCATAAGACTAATGAAATTTTCTTCCAAAATGCTTTGTCTTTTAAAAATATTTATTTTATTCTATGTATATTGAATGTTTTGCTTGAATTGTAAATTTGTGCCATGTTCAAGGAGGTCAGGAGAAGGTGTCAAATACCCTGGAACTGAAATTACTAGAAGTGTGAGCTGCCAAGTGGATGCTGGGAATTAAACTCAGGTCCTCTCAACCACTGAGTCATCATCTCTCCCGACCCATAACATTTAATACTGAAACACCCCTGCACCCAAGCAAATAATACGAATGTATTTATAGAATTTTTGTTTTTTTGTGACAAGGTCTCATTATGTGGCCAGGAACTGGCTATGTACACCACACTGGACTTGAACTCTGCCTCCTCAGTGCTGAGGTATAGACAGGATTTTTTATTTTTATTAATTTTTTGTGTGTTTGTTGAGTGTACATGCCAAATGGAATGCATGTGGTGGTCAGGAGACAACTACTGGGAACTGGTTTTCTATTTTTACCATGTTTGTCCTGCACCTTTGACTGTCTGAGCCATCTTGCTGGCCCTTTATCATAAATGCTCCAAATCCAGAAGATACTGAAAATGAGATTGGTAAACTACCTGCAGCAAAAAGAATTTTCGATTTTAAAATGACAAGTGAAGACTATCTGTATCTATTGCATAACCTCTGTTGACTGTTTTTACAGAAAATAAAAACAGTATTCAAGAACCTTAAAATTCAGCAGGGGTATGGTAGCTAGTGCACACCATTAACCCCAGCAGAAGCAGGTAGACCTCTCAGAGGCTAAACTGGTTTACAGAATGAAAACCAGGGTAGCCAGGGTTACACAGAGAAACCCTGACTCAAAACAAAACAATGTCTTACATAAATCAATCTTCACAGATGTCTTTTAAATTCTAAGCTCCAGCTACACATTCTCCACTTAACAAATAACACAACTCAACCCATTTCCAGCGTGGCTCTTTACTAGCAAATCAACATAGCCTGTATCCACAGTAGCACACAGGCTTCCTGTGAGGATCAACAAGAAGGATATGTGTGGTAGTATGCACCTGTATGCTCAGCACCCAGGAAGCAGGAGAAGAGTATGGTGAGAGGCCAACCAGGGATACATAAGATCTTGCCTTTAAATAAATAAATAAATCAACAAACAAACAAACAAAAGCTCATACCTTTAATCTGACACTTGGGAAGCAGATGCAAGTGGATTTCTGTGAGTTCAAGGCCAGCCTGGTATACAAATTGAGTTCCTGGACAGTCAAGGCCACAAAGAGAAATCCTGTCTCCCAAACCCAACCAAACAAAACAAAGACAGCACAACAAAAAGCAATTTGGGGCTTCTGAGACTATGCTTTTTCTCCAGCTCATCAGTCCACTTCTATTCTCAGCAATGTTTCTCTTTGCTAATAAACAAGTCTCTGCCCAGCACTGGGGAAGCAGGTAAAGGTGGATCTCTAAGTTAGAAGCCAACATGACATACAATGAAAAATCTGTCAACACCAAAAATAAATACACAAATTGTTTCTATTTCTTAAAAAAAAAAAAAAAAAAGACTAACACCAAAACAAGTTGGTGTATGTTAAGTACAAAACATGTAAAGACAAGTACTACAGGTAACCAAGAGCTTCTAGGGTCATACATCAAACTCTGAATAATTCTCTTTATAAGTGGAGACTACTATCAAGTTACAAGTATTTAAAAGAATTAGCACACAGCACATCAATAATAATTTTGAGAGGGAGAACTATTTGCTCCTAGCCTTTTAGCATTGCACCCAGTTTTAGAACATTCCAGTGTCCATCACAGAAAAAAAAGCACTGACCCAACTATAAACCACCACAGGGACAATTCAGCTTTAACTTTAATACTGCAAAACAGAGTAATATGAGAGCCCATTTGGGAAACCCCGAAAGGAGGGGGGATGGGGAGGTAAAAGCAAGTTTATCTTTACAAGCTGGCATTTGTTTCCCTAATCATTGAAGGGGAGGGAAAAAAACAACCCAAAGGGCAAAATAACTGCAAAGCTCTGACAGCATACACTCAAGTAATAGAGAGCCTCCTACTCTAATCCTGAGCTAACAATCTCATGTGCCTAAAAATCCTTTTCACCAAGTATACAATCACCTTTTAAAGTACAGCAAACAGAGCAGAGCATGATGGTACACATCTATAGTCACAGCACTCAGGAAACAGAAGCAGCAGGATTCAAGGCCAGCCTGACCTACAGGGTGAAATCCTGTCTCAAAACAGCCAAACAATGGTTCAGTGGTTAATAGAACCCATTGCTCCCAACTTCCTTGAATTCTAGCTCCAGGTGATCTTCCTCCATCCAAGCACTGGCACTTATCTGCATGCACACACATAACACTTAATAAAGAAATAAAAGGTTTTCCATTAGGAATGTAGCTCACTCATAGAGGGCTTGCTTAGCATGCAAGATGGTGTCGGTGGTTTCTACCACTAAAACTAAATAATGGACTGGAGAGATGGATGGCTCAGTGGTTAAGAATACTAGCTGTTCTTCCAGTGTACCTGGGTTCCAGTCCCAGTCCCCACAAGACAGCCAACAATTGCTAATAACTTTAGTTCCAGGAGATTGGATGCCCTCTTCTGGCACCTAGTGTAACAGATACATGCAGGCAAAACATTCATTCACATAATATTTTCCCCCTCTTATTTTCTAGTTTTTCAAGACAGAGTTTCTCTGTGTGTTGTCCTGGAACTTACTTTATAGACCAGATTGGCCTCCAATTCTGAAATCCCTTTGCCTCTGCCTCCTGAGTTCTGGGATTAAAGGAGTGTGCCACCACTGCCTGGCTCACATAATATTTTTAATAAAAAATAAAATGCAGCTGGTGAGAAGGTTCAGTAGGCAATGTGCTTACCTTATAAGCATGAAGACCCAGGTTCGATTCCTAGTCAAAAAGTGCTGGGGAGGCACCCTGCATTCTTTTAAAGAAGTTTTGCCTCAAGAATTTTTGTAACACACACAACAACAACAACCAAAAAACTGTTTTCCACCCACACTACAAAACTGATTTAAGTGCTGCCACATTTCTCAAGTATCCTCCATTAAGCCAGTCTCAGACCACTCAAATTATTTCCAACAAAGGCTATTTCACCTCTGAAACTTCCTATGCATATACTGGTTGTCCAATGAATCAGTCACAAGATATCTTGAAAATGGACAGTGGAAAACTTGAAAACTGTACCATTGTACTGTGTTCTATATAACAAATTCAAGCGTCCACCTAGAAAAGTTCTAACAGCACTTCATCCTAAAACTATCCTTAAAGTCCTTCAAATAAGGCCCACAGAGAAATCCTACAAGGTGAGCTAGAAGTGGTAGTGCATACTTTTGATTCCAGAAACAGGGTGGCAGGAGGGACAGCTCTTTTCAAATTTAAGGCCGCCAAGGTCTATACTGTAGACTCTATAGGCTAGCCAGGTGTCATATATCTCAAAAACTGGGGGAACAGCAAAGATTGGAGGAAGAGAAATAGAATAATACGATACGAAGCATCTCTAAAATAGAGCTGAAAAAGTGAAGGTGAGACTGACTGGAGGTGTAGCTCAGAGTATTCATCTAGCACCCTCAAGATCCAGGGTTCTGCCGGGTGTTGGTGGTGCTCCCTTTAATCCCAGCATTGGGGAGGCAGAGGCAGGCGGATCTCTGTGAGTTCAAAGCTGGCCTAGTCTACAGAGCAAGAAGTTCCAGGATAGAGGATAGGCTCCAAAGCAATAAAGAGAAACCTACCTCAAAAAACCAAAAAAGGTCCAGGGCTCCAAGGGGGTGGACAGGAAGTAAAAATGAGCACTCTCAAAGGCTGAGACTTTCCATGGTAAAGTGTTGGGAATAACCACACGGAGGCCCCTCTTTCTGTGCTGTGGGGGTGGAACCCAGGGCCTTGCGCATCCTGGATAAATACTCCTAATGGGTTATAATATCACACGTTCACACATTTTTGTTGTTTTCAGACTGGCACTCATGTAGCCTGGGCAAACCTTGAACTTGCTATGTAGCCAAAACTGGAGAACTCAACCTCCCAAATGCTGAAATCACAGACACAAACCAGTTAACTAATGATGTTTTACTTCTCCCTAAGATAAAAGATCTGGAATTTCCTCCAGTAACAAAGTAGCCAATACTTAGCAAATGTTTTATCAGCATTATGATTCCCTAGAATCCTAAAGCTTCCAGTCTTACAAATCTGACTGCAGATGAAAATTCAGAGATATAAAATGCTGGTCTTAGAACCAAAATGTTTCCCCACACCTTTCTCAAGTAATGATAATCAATATGAGCAGAGTTCCACAGGATGTTTTCCTCCTTGAGGAAAACTTTTTCTTTGGCCTGGGAAGGTCCGCCACGGGATCCAATCTAGTTACTTTGGAGTGTCAGGTCACAGCTCTATCATTTTACTACGTTCCTAGCCCTCTTTTTAAGCGGAGACACGGTTTCCCCAATTTCCCACTGATTCAATGGCAACCTTGATTGAAACTCACTCTATATGGCCTGTTCACACTGGGCAACTTTGAAGTCTTTTGGCTTCTACCTCCTCCCCATTAAGCTAGGACTCACCAGATCGAGCTAGGAAACTTACAAAAACAAGCCAAGGTCTCTGAGCAGACCCCAAACAGGATTCCGAAAAGGGGATGATGAAGTCTGGCTATCCTAATTTCCGAAACCCTGAAACCCCGAAGAGATAGATGCCTTCACCCTCACACTTCCTTTCGCTAAGGATGAACAGTGAGCAAGCAAGGAACCTTTCTCTCCACTGTTGCCAACTGCGCACTTGAAGAAGGGATAGAGAGGCGGAAGGACTCCATCCCACCAGGAGCCGGGTCCCGGAGCCATTCTGATGGAAGAAGCACTTCCTGCAGGAAAAGTGAACACCGGGGGTCTCGGAACCCTGCAACGAGGCCCGCGGCGACAACCTTCCTGGTCCCGCCGCCGTTTGCTGACCGTACACGTGATAACCCACGCGCGTACGCCTCCCACCCCTAACTTCGCGTGTCTGAGGAACCGAGACAACACCACCCCCCCACACACACACACTATGGGTTGTCATGTTGAGGGGTTGAAACCACACAGCCTTCGTGGCTCAACCCTCGAGACCCCAGTGAGAGGTGCAGCGAGACTCGGGCTCCCGCAAGCCTGCGCGCCATCGCTGCTCCCGGTGTAAAAGAGCAGGCCATAGGCCTAAGGCCTCGACGACGCGCCCGGCCCGCCGGGAGACTGAGGCAGCGGAGGCAAGCGCCGTCGGCAGGGGGCGACCCGTGAGGCTCTCCCGGCTTCCTCATCGTCCCTGCCTCCGCCGCCCCCGACTCTCGGCAGGGAAAGGCCTGCGCACACGCCGCGCCGCCATGGGGCGAAGAGAAAGCAGCCAACACACCTAACGGAGCTGCGAAGTAGCCCGGCCGGAGTTAGAGGAGGACGAACTGACGTTAGAATACTCACCCCTTCGGGCCTGGGGCTCCGTTGCCGCTCGGCACGCAGGGCGCGCCGCTCTCTTCCTCCATTTTGGGATCTGTCGCTGCCACTTCGGCCGCCGCTTCGACCCCTGCCGCCATTTTCTCCGCGTCTGGGCTTTGTGTGAGGGAGCGAACTGTGCCGAGCTGCGCCTGCGCACTCACGTGACCCTGCGCGACCAGTAACGCCTGCGTGTGCTGCGACCGGCTCCCGCTTCCTGCTCGCCTCGGGTCACGCCCACTGGATATAAAGCCACGCCCCCTATCAATCAGGCCACGCCTCCCAGCGCCAGCGGGAACTGTTTCTGAGTGGGTGTGGACAGGGAAGTATCTCCCTTTCACACTGCTGATGTGCGCTCAGATAATGACCTAGTCACTCCAGCTTACTTTCTTTTTTCTCCCTTCTGTTTTATTAAATTTTCTTCTATTTTGGGACAAGGTGTCACTATATAGCCCGGGCTGGCTGAAAGATCGTCCAACTCCTACCTACTAAATGTAGGAATTAAAGGTATGCACCACCACCTCTATTTTTTTTAAATTAACAACTGCATATATGTATGTCATGTATTTTGAGTTTGCTTGTGTCTGAGGGGGGGGGTCACTTTTTGAGACAGGGTTTCTGTGTGTAGTCCTGTCTGTCCTGGAACTCACTCTGTAGACCAAGCTGCCCTCCAGCTCAAGAGAGCTGCCTGCCTCTGCCTCCCAAGTGCTAGAATTAAAGGCTTGTGCCACCAACACATTTGTTGTTGTTGTTGTTGTTGTTGTTGTTGTTGTTGTAGACAGGGTTTCCAGCCAATGCTGGCATCGAACTGTGTGTAGCAGAATCTAACCTTGAATGTCTGCTAAGCTGCCCACCTCCACATCCACATCCTGAGTGCTAGAATGATAAACTAGAGAGACTGTGCTCAATTTGTTCAGTGTTAGGGATGGAACCCAGGAACCTGAACATGCTAAGCAAGCACTCTAGCTGCTTCAATCCCTGACCCTATACTGTATTTTTATCATATTCACCTACAGTTACCATCTTAGGGCCCCTCCCATTCCCCCTGAACCTTCTTTCCAACAAGTTCCCACGTCTTGTTTGTTTTGTGACCTACTGAGTTAGGATGGCTTACATGAGCAAAGGCATGGGGTTTATTTACCTGAGCATGGACAACTGAACAGTGGCCACTCCATACAAGAAAATGACACCTTTCTCCAGCAATGACTGCCAACAGATCATCAGGGAGGGGTGATGCCTCCCAAGCCTCTCCCCCAAATGTGATGGAATGCTAAAGGGTCCTATCCTATGCAAGCAACCACCCCAGCTATAATTTCATGGGTGGCAACAGCCATGTCATGTCAAAGAGACATCAGCTTTCTTTAAATGGAGATAGGACAGAAAGAAAATGAAAATTCTGTTGGCTGGAACTTTTTATTATTTGTGTGTGTGTGTGTGTGTGTGTGTGTGTCTGAATATAGGCTTTGAGCATGACACGGCTTGCAAGTGGGAGTTATTTTCTCTTTCCACAAGGTGGGTTCTGAGAATCAAATGCAAGTTATCAGGGTTATCTTTACCCATTGAGCCCCAGAGCCAGTCCTGTATGCAGAATTCTTGACAGGCTAACTTCCTATGTAATTCAAAGTGTTAGAAGAGATGTACAATAGAAATCTCCCTCCCACCCATTTCCCTGCTTCCCCTTTCCCTCTTCCTTCTACCCTCTTTCTGTTTTTCCCTCCTTCCTCCTCTCTCTCTCCTTGATGGCAGGTGCCATCAAGGTATGCTTACACCATCTCCAGAGGCCCTATATTCTAAAATTAGGATAAGGAGAAGTAGGTGCTAAGTTAAGTAGGCCGGGATAGCAATGTGTCTGTGTATGATTATTTGTTTTGTTTTGTTTTTTGAGGCAGAGTTTCTCTGTGGCTTTGGAGGCTGTCCTGGAACTAGCTCTTGTTGACCAGGCTGGTCTTGAACTCACAGAGATCCATCTGCCTCTACCTCCCAACTGCTGGGATTAAAGCTTTGTACCACCAATGCCCGACTCTATGTAAGTTTTTATAGGTATCAGTTCACCTATTTCCTGATCATCTCAGCTTTATTCCTCAGTCATACTGTTCCAGCCATAAGATCTCCCAGCCTGCTCATACTACAGGCCAAACAGATTCTAGCCTCTGAGTTTTAGCCTTCTGCAAAACTGTCTTCCTCTTGTCTTTCTAGTCAGGGCAGCAAGATATTGTTATTGTGTTATTATGTGCTGTGGAACCCCCACCCCCACACTATGGATGGACGTATGTACTAGGCAAGGAATGAGTGCAGAAATACAGGAAAGACCATACTGTATTGGACTCATTGGGAATAATGATGAGCCTACTGTTCTAAGGCTCTGTTTGCTCATCTAAAAGACTCTCCAGAAACCACCTTTCACAGCAGCCTGCATTAAATGCAGGAAAATGCCAATCACCCTTAACTGTTAAGTAACTCAGCATGCAACAAGAACTCAAAGGTGAGCTGGCCAAGCATGGTGGCACATACCTGTAATCTCAGTACTCCAGAAGCAGAGACAAGAGGATTAGCACAAATTTGAGGCCAGCCTATTCACACAATTTCAGGGCCAACAGGGGCTACACATTGAGGCTAACTAAACAAAGAAAAGAGGACAAGGAGCAACAAAAGCTGTTAATACCACTGTCACATTCTACATCTTTCTAGAGTCTACTTGAGGGCTGGGGCACAAAGCTTAATATTGGGGCATCTGAGATCCCCTTCTGTAACGAGTACTGTTTTGTCCTGCTACCGCGCCAGCCCCAAATAATACACAGAGACTCTGTATTTGATACAATACTGTTGGCCCGGTTACTTGTTTCTTATCGGCTAGCTCTGCCTTTAATTATTAACCCATTTCTGCTGATCTATGTATTTTCACATGGCCTTCTCTTACCGGGGAGGCGGCTGGCGTCCAGCTCTCTCCAGACTCTCCATCTTGACTCCTCCTTACTACTTCCTATTTCCTCCTTGTCTCCTAGTCCCTCCTATCTTCCTTTCCTGTTGGCCAACGGTGCTTTATTTATTAACCAGTATGAGAAACATCTACAGAATGACATCTCCCATCACCCTTCATATAAAGGTTTTCATACATTGGGCTTGAGTCTCACTGCCTTTAAAATGGAAGTAGTAACTGTTCCTTCCCTAGCAAGGAGATGTGAAACAGGCTCAGAATTTGGATCTCATCCATGGCAATCCCAGGTAAGTGTGGACAGTATTACCATTAGTTATTAGGGCCACAGTATAAGGGATCTGGCTCATTGGAAATAGAAAGTAAGTGAAAGCTGTCCTTATATTTTCCCTTTTGGATTGGAACTAGAACTTCCCACATGCTAAGCATGTTTTGTGCCATCTAGTTACATTCACAGCCCTTGCATACTCTCAAGTTGGTTTTGTTGTGGTGGTGGTGGTTGTTTTGAGAATTTGTGGTTTGTTTGGTTTTTTGTTTTTATGGAAATAGGATCTCTTTAGGCTGTTCTGGAACTCCCTATGTAGACCATCCTAGCCTTAAACTCAAAGAGATACTACTGCCTCTGTCTCCTGAGTGCTGGGACTAAAGGAATGTGCCACCATGAATGGCTTGTTGTTTTCTTGAGACATGGTCTCACTATGCAACCCTGGCCAGCCTGGAACTCATTATGTATTTCAGACCTCAAATTCACAGAGATCTGCCGACCTCTGCCTCTGTGTGCAAGAATTAAAGATGTACACCACCAAGAAAGGCCCTTTGTGATTTATTTCATTTTATGTGTGTGGATGTTCTGCCTGCCTTTGTATCTGTGAATCATGTATATACTTGGTGTCATTGGAAACCAGAAGAGATTATTGAATCCCCCAAAATTGGAGTCACACATGGTTGTGAGCCACCACATGAATACTAAGAATCAAACCCAGGTTCTCTTCAATAGAAGAGCAACCAGTGCTCTTAAGCACTGAGTCATTTCTGTAGCAACTCTCCCCCCACTTCACTTCTCTCTCTCTCTCTCTCTGTCTCTCTCTCTCTCATTTTATTGAGACAGGGTTTTAAAATTTTACATACACACACACACACACACACACACACACACACACACACACACATATATATATATATATATATATATATATATATATATAGCTAGGCATGGTGGTGCATGTCTTTAGTAATTCCAGCACTCAGAAGACAGAAGCAAGAGGATCTCTTTGAGTTTCAGGCCAGTCAGAACTACCTAGAGACTCTGTCTCAAAGTGTGTGTGTGCATGTGTGTGTGTATTACTAAAAATATATTTATTTAAGGATCCGTGAATCAAACCCAGAGCTTTGTCTTTGTTATTCAAGTATTTAATCACTGAACTACATCACCAGATAAAATAATTTAAAAAAATCATTAAAAATACAAAAAAAAACTTTAAAAAAATAATTTATTGGGGACAGAGAGATAGCTCAGTAGTTAAGGGGGTACTGGCTGCTCTTTCAGAAGACAAAGGTTTTGTTTCTAGCAACCACATGTCAGCTCACAGCCATCTGTAACTCCATCCAGTTCTTGGGAATCTCTCGCCCTCCTCTGGCTTCCTTGAGCATTGCATGCACATGTGGGGGAAACAAGATACTCATACCATAAAAATAAAATCTTTTCAAAAATCATTTGCAGAGGTGTTGGTGGCGCATACCTTTAATCCCAGCACTGGGTGAGGGAGGACAGAAGCAGGCGGATCTCTGAGTTTGAGGCCAGCCTGTTCTACAAGAGCTAGTTCCAAGACAGTTTCCAAAGCCACAGAGAAACCCTGTCTCAAAACAAACAAATAAACAAACAAAAATAAATAATAATAATAAATCATTCATTATAAATCCTGCCCAGGCCAGTGTGGTGGCTCAATGAGTAAGATCACTTATGCAAACCTGAAATGCTGTTTGCTCCCTGGAGCCACAAAAAGGTGGAGAGATCCTGCTCTCCTAACAAGGTTTCTTCTGACCTTCCCCAGCAACAACAATAATAAATAATTTAGAAAGGAAATAAACTATCCCCTCCTGGTGGCCATGTCAAAGGAGCAGCAGGTGGCAATTGAAATTCAAGGTGTTAGCCCATGAGGAGGAGACTCTCTAATTGGTCAGCCTCAGTTAAGGAAGGTCCCAAGACCACAGACCCCAGAATGTCTTTTGCTTCTGCAGTGCCTTCACAAGTTTGCTGCTACTACATTTCTCTGGTATCTGGCATGGTGTCCATGGGTGTGGGGAGAGGAGATCCCCACTGCTTGTAATGTAATGTGTTTATCTCATGGAAACATTCTGTTCTATGGGGCAATTTTCCCTGTGGATTATTATGAAGAGGATTATTATGAAGATGACTCCTCCCTAAATAGTTATATTTAATTGATTATGTTAGCTTACACAGTTTTGATGAATAAAAATAAATACAAGGAATCGTTACACAGCTAGGGCCTATGAATTTCATAAGGAGCTGCATAGATCATAGCTCAAGTTTATGATTTAGAGAAACAACTGAGTCCTGGGAACCAGACTGGCTCAAATACCTTTAATCTTAATGCTGAAAGATGAAGTCACAGGTTTCGATGTGCATCATTAGCTGAAACAAAGCTTTAAAATAACTTCAGGTTAGAGCAAGTGTTTTGATTAGCCTTAAGATGGAAAACAATCTAAAGTTCACAAGGACATATAGCTGAGGTAAAAAATACAAAGCAGTGTAACTGTTCCTTGCTGATATATTTTCTGGCTAGGGTTGGTTGATGATCAAAGGTGATGATTAATTCCTTGTACACACTCCTGCCCACAATCTCCTGAGCTGACTGATTTTTTTTTTAATATATAAAAAGTTTAGGATTGTGATTCCTTTATCTTATAAGATTAACTTTCAAGGTAAGTAGTAAATGATTGATTCTTTCTTTGTAAATGAAATATGCATGCTGCCTGCCAACAAAAGAGTTGGCTGTGAAAAAATACTTTCTGCTTGCTCATGTTGTTAATCTGTAACAAGTTACTTAAATGTGAATGATTATGGGTTATTGAGGTGACTTTCTTTTTGATCATGTAAGGGAGATAAAAAACAAGCAAACAAAAAAACATGTTTTAACCTGTACTCTGTAGGAATATAGCAGAGCCATTGTATGGGGTAAATATTAGAATGAGCAGCTGTTTTTTTAGAAGTACCTTGACCTTGAAGAATCCTTGTGGAAAACAATGATTGTTTTGCTGAGGGGGCTTTGCAGCCATCCCATGACTTTGGTCACAAGACACCCTCAGGAACATCTGAGGATCTTGTATTATTACTGTGTATTGCACACAATGCATAATAAAGGACTAGAGTCATGGAGGCATATGGTCCTCTCCACAAGTAAGACATATAAATTAAAGTTAGGGACCTTGGTATGAGAAAATACTTTGTGAAACAATCAATAAATATGCCTTTGTTTGGCTTGGCTGTTTTGGATCCAGTTCAGTCTATCAGAAGAGGCTGGACCTTCCTGCTACCACATGGGCCTTAAAATTTCATCTTGGAGTGCCTTTGTTCTTCAACCGACAATGAAAGAACATGGGAAGAATACAGAAGAATAGAGACTAAAGAAGGAAACCATCAAGAGAGAGTATGAGTGTCTTTTTCCCTAACCCACTTAGATAGACAAGTCTAGTAAGTGCCAACCAGTGGATTCCATTGGAGCCCTGTAATCCTTTTGAGCCTTGTGCTGCTGGAGGCTGGCCCCCAGACAGCAATGATCTGATCTTCCTGTTCTGTGTTTTCATCCTGTGTGCACACTTCACTGATCTTCTCCACCTTACCTATTGAGGCAAAGTCTTTCAACTGAACTCAGAGTTTGCCCAAATGGCTAGTTTAGCTAGCCAGCTTTGCTCTGGCATCTCCTGAGTGCTAGGTGAGCATCACCAGGGACACACATATATACCCCAAATCTACATAAGTCATAGAGATGGGAGGTCTAGTCTTCATGCTTGTGTAGCAAGTCATCTCCCCAGGCCCTGCAACCTGTTCTTCATTTAAAACTCTGCCTTTACTTCTTCCTAAGGCTTCTGTGATGATTAGTGTTAACTGTCAATTTGACAGAATCAAGAGTCCCTGGTGAAATGAATCTCTGGGCATGACTGTGGGGAATCATCTTGATTGTACTGATTGATGTAGAAAGACCCACCTTATCTGTGCCTTGAATTCCCCACCATGAGGGACTGTACCTGGAGCTGTGAGCTAAAATAAATGCTTTCTCCCTTAAGTTGCCTTTCTTTAAAATTTATTTCATGTGTATGGTTATTATGCCTGCATATACGTATGTGCACCATATGTGAATAGTGTCAGTGGAAGACAAAAGAGGGCACTGGATCCCCTGAAACTGGCATCAGGGACAATTGCAAGCTATCATATGAGTGCTGGGACTTGGACACAGTCCTTTTCAAGAGTGGCAGTGTTCTTAACTATTGAGCCATCTCTGCACCTCCACTTAAGTTGCTTTTATCTGAGTAGTTTATCACAGAAATAAGAAAAGAAACCAAGACAACTTCATAACAGATCCCCTCAAAACAAGCCAAGCATTTTATACCTTTTGCCCCCATAGAATCACTCACTTGGAGCAGCTTAAAAATGTAACTGACAAGTCCTTGTTAGCCAGCAAGGGCTCCTTTTATTCATTCAAGGGTGGGTTTTTGAAATGCAGTGCAACTTTATAAAGTCAAGAGTGCCAGTAAAGCAAGCCGGCCAGGCGCAGAGTAGAGCAAGAAGCTTGCTGGAACCTTCTAGCCAATGAACACCCTTGACACAAGCAGCCAAAGTTGCTGGCCAAGGAAATACCAAACAGATCTCAGAATGAGATAAGGGTACCTGCTCCATCCAAAGCTAGGGTCTGTCCATGTGTCCTTGTGTATAACAATGTGCAAACAAAACCCTTGAAAATATGTTCACACAGGAGCACACAGCAGGCTCTGCTTGCTGTGGTTCTTGGCCTGAGAAGCGTCGTGGCTGTGCGTGAAAGGTTAGGCAGCTTCTATCCTTTCAAACACCAGAGCATTGTCATCTACCTCTGGCCTTCCACTACCTTAAGGCCCTGCTAGGCAGGTCTTCATACAGGGGTCTCCTCTGCCACCTTTTTTAAGAGTCCAGCAGCCAGTAAGGAGTGGTGGGGGTCCTCGGAGCCATCTGCTTCCCGAATCTTCAGGCGGACTTTCTGATTGGTCTTCCTCCATTCTGAGTACAGCTGGCAATGGTATCGGAAAGAGACCTGTGGGGGCAGTTCTGCAGTGGGTGGGAAGGTAGAGACAGGCCTCCACCCTGAGGGGGAGGACAGGGGGGCCCTGGCATTTGCCATAGGCCAAACCTAGAAGCAGCACCACATCTGGGCATTTCCTGTAGACTGCATACACTCACCCATTTGGTCTTCGGAGGATACTCTGATAAGCCTTGAGTCCTGTAAAAGTGAGGGATCCACCACCTTGACCCCAGTAGGGAGGAGGCTCTTCCCTTCTATGGCTAATGAGAATGGAGTCTTACCAGTCTCTTGGGATTATTTAACCCCAAGCAATCATACAACTGCCCAACCTAGAAGCAATCTGTCCCTTCATAGATAGGAGGATAAAAATGATAGCATGTTTAAGGGACTGGGAAGATGCAAGCTTGAGGACATGAGTTCAAATCCCCAGCATCCATGTAAAAAGCTGAGCATGATCCTGTGTCCTACCTGTGTCACCCCAAAACTGGGGAGGGGAGGGAGGTAGAGACAAGAGAATTGCTAGGACTCACTGGCTAGTAGCAGTCACATGTGTACACACAGATATACCCACACATACACACTCATAAATACAGACACACACATGCTTACAAACACTCATACACACTCAAGCATAAAGGCATACACTCAGACGCACACGTGCGCGCGCGCGCACACACACATTCACACACACACAGAGAGAGAGAGAGAGAGAGAAGAAGTAAGAGCTGGAGCTACAGCTCAGTGGTAAAGTGCTTGTCAAGCATGTGAGATTCCAGTCTGAGTACCATTTAAAAAAGTGTCCAACTGACATTTCAGGAATTTGACCCCAGTTGCTCAGAAGACTAAAACAGGACAACCACAAATCTAAGGTCTGTTCAGACTACAGAGCGAGTTCAAAGCCTTTCTGGGCAACTTAGCTAGACACTGTCTCAAAATAACAACATTAAATGCAGCTGGGGATATAGCTCAGTAGGGGCATGCTTGCTTAGTATGTGAGAGCCCTGGGGTTGATACTCAATATGGAGCAAAAACAAAAGCAAGCCATCAAACCATGATTCGGCATGGAGAAAACAAATCCAAATAACCAACTGAAAGAGGCCAATTAAAGGGGCTACATGCTGTATGACTCCAAGTACATGGCATTTCAGAAGAGGAAAACCAATGGAGACAGTAAAAAGATGAGTGGTTACCAGGCATGTTGGAGCAGGGAGGGACAAACAGGTGAAGAACAGAGGAGCAATTAAAAAAATGTACACTAATGTTTGGGGATGTGGCATAGTTGGGGAAGTGTTTGCCTAACACGAAGTCCTGGGTTCCACCCCAGCACCACATAAAGCAGATGTGGTGGTACATGTGTGACATCCCAGTAGTTAAGTAGAGATGGTAGGGACAGGAGCTCAAGGTCATCCTGGGCACATGAGACTCTGACTGGAGAAATGGCTCAGCTGGTAAAAGATCTGCTGTGCAAGGTGTGAGGATCTGAGTTCAAACTCCCAATGACTACATAAAAGCTGGGCATCCTGGGATGTATGTATAACTCCAGTGTTGGAGGTCAGAGATAGGCACATTTCTAGAGGTCTCTGTCCAGCCAGTCTAGCCAAACCAATGAGCCCAGTTATAGTGACAGACTTTGTCTCAAATAAAAGGCTGTCAAGATGGCTCAGTGGGCACAAGCCACTGTGATGGTTTGACAGAAAATGACTGCCAATGGCACGATTAGGAGGTGTGGCCTTGTTGGAGGAGGTGAAGAGGTGGGCTTTGAGGTCTCATATATGCTCAGGATACTGCTGCTCAGTGTCAGAAACTTCCTGTTGCCTATGAGTTGAGATGTAAGCACTCTCAGCTCCTTCTCCGGCACCATGTCTGCTTGCATGCAGCTTTGCTTCCCACCATGATAATGGACTAAGTCTCTGAAAATGTGGACCACCCAATTAAATGTTTTCTTTTGTAAGAGTTGTTGTGGTCATGGTGTCTCTTCACAGCAATAGAAACCATAACTAAAACAAGCCATAAAGCCTGACAACCTGAGTTTGACAATCAGGACCTATATAGTGTGGAAAGGGAGCACCAACACTGCCATGCTGTCATCTAAGTAGTGCACACACACATACACATGCGCACATTCACGCACGCACAAATACACCCACACACACACACACACACACACGCACGCACGCACACACGCACACAGACACAAACACACACATGCACACAGACACAAACACACACAAATACACAAATGTAATTTTAAAATTATTTTTAAAACACGGGCATCAAGCCAGGTGGTGGTGGTGTACGCCTTTAATCCCAGCACGTGGAAGGAAGGTAGAGGCAAATGGGTCTCTGTGAGTTCCAGGGCCACATCTCAAAAAAAAAAAAAAAAAAAGGTGGATGAGGTGAAGAGATGGCTCAGAGGATAAGGGTTCTTGATCCCACTTAATGACTCAAGTTCAATGCCCAGAGCCCTTATGGTAGAAGGAAAGAACAGACTCCTTCAAGCTGTCCTCTACAACCTCCACACACATACAAACAAAATAAATGAATGTAATAAAAAACTTTAAAAATAAGATGGATGGTGATGGAGAAAGTAAGCCAATACAATACTGGCCTATGGCCTCCACATCCATGTGCAAGTGTGCACTTCTGCACCCATATACTTATGAATACATAGGACACTCTCTGCATGATAGGGACTAACTCCATGGTAAAGCACTTGCTTAGAATAGTCAAGCCTCTGGTTCCATCCCCAGAATCACAGGAAGAAAAGAGAAACAAGGAAGGGAGGAAAAGAGGGAAGAAGGAAGGGAGAAAGAACTTTGCTGGTAGTGGCTCGAAGTACTACTCATAACGGGGGAAAGAAAAATCCCCCACATTGCCAAAAGTCCCAGAGTGAGTCAAAGGGATTGATTAAATAAATATGGTATAACAACACAATGGATGAGTGTTCTGGGTAGCTGCCCCCTTTTCTTTTTAAAGGATAAAAGGATAAAGGATAAAAGGATAAAAACAAGCAGGCGTAAAACAGTACATATGTTTTCATGCTATTTATATATTTTAAAATGTGTCCCTTATGACAGAAATGCATCCTGAGAAATGCATCACACCCTAGCTGTGCAAATACTGGCACTGATTAAGATGCCTTTCACACCACTAAACAATGTGAATATGGTAGCTCGTGCCTCTAATCCCAGCTGAACAGGACTACTGCAGAGTTCAAGATCAGCCCAGGCTGAGATCCTCTTATAAAAGAGCATATCAGGGATGGGGATGAGGCTCAGTTGTGACAGCATTTGTCTGAGTGTGTGATAGTATGCACCTGTCACCCATGTACTTGGAAGGTGAGAGAATTGGGAAGACCATTAGTTCAAAGCCAAAAACAAACAAACAAACAAATAAAAAACCCAAAGAAACAAAACACATAAACAAACAAACAGAGGTTCAAAGCTATCATCAGCTATGTACTGAGTTCAAAGCCAGTATGGGCTATCTGAGACCCTCTTTAAAAAGTCTCTCTCTCTCTGTCTCTCTCTGTCTCTCTCTCTCTGTCTCTCTCTCTCTCTCTCTCTCTCTCTCTCACATACACAGGATCTCTCCCACACTAAATATGAACTCTACCACTGATCTGGGAACAATTTTTTGATATAAGGAATGGCTCACAGCTGGACAACTAGAGAATGCAAGGACTACTCTTTGATCAAAAATATCACTGGTTGCTTCCGTGGCACCCCTACTTTATCTTACCACTTTCTGTCTCTGTAATAGTCTAAGTGTTGCCCTCACCCTGCCCATTCTCTTCTATTCTTCCTTCTAACTACTTTTCAAATGTATTCTTATTACATTTTATAGTGTGTTTGAGCATATGTGCATATGGTCACGTGTGCACTTGTGCACATATATGGAGATCAGAGGACAACTTGCAGCAATCAGCTCTCCCTTTCCACCGAGTGGGGCCTGGAGACTGAACTCAGTTTGTCAGCCAGGAAGGCAATTGCCTTCATCTACCAAGCCATTAACTTACACTATTTTTAGCTTAATTTTTCACTGACACTTAGAAACAAGCTCATTTCATAGGGTATCCTGTTCCACACTCATTTTCTGTTTATTTCATGTGCTAGGGATGGAACCTCGGGCCTGATACATGCCAGGAAGGTTCCCTACCATGGGGTCATACCCCAACCCCTCAATTTTTCAATCACTATGTCTCATATAATCTTTCCTGGCTTACTTTGTCTTAAAACTTAAAAAAAAAAAAAAAAAAAAAAAAAACTATTATTCTTTTTAGCGGGTCTCATCCGAAAGCTAGAGGACAACTTTATGGAGTCAGTTTCCTCCTTCCACCTATGTGGGTTGTGGGGACTGCACTTAGGCTGCCAGGCTTGCCCAGCAAGCACTTTTACCCACTGAGCCATCTTGCCAACCTTGTTTTGAGTTTTGAGACATGGTGTCATGTAGTCAAGTTGGCCTCCAACTCTGATTCTCCTGCCTCCACCTCAGGTGTTTGTGAACACACCTGGGATATGTGGTGCTGGGAACTAGAACCCAAAGCTTCTAGCATGTATGCAAGCACTGTACCAACTGAGTACACTCCAGTCCTTTATGTTGGCCTCAACCCTCATTCTCTACTCAGCTTCTTTAGATGGGATTGTCCCATGTTGCCCAGACTGACCCTGAGCTACTGGAGGATTCATGCTCTGTCACTGTCAACTCCCAGCTAATTTCATTTTCTTTTTCTTTTTAAGGCAGGGACTCTCTATGAGACCCTGGCTGTTCTGGACTCTGTATGTAGATCAATCGAACTCACAGAGATCCACCAGCCTCTACATCCTCAATGCTGGGATTAAAGGTATGCCCCACCACACCTGTCATTCTATCTATCTATCTATCTATCTATCTATCTATCTATCTATCTATCTATTTTTAGACAGAGTGTCACTGTATAGGCCAAACTGGCCTTAAATTTGTTAGCCATCCTCCTGCCTCAGACTCCTGAGTACTGAGATTACAAGCAGTGTGAATCACACCACAGCTGACTTTTGTCTTATTTGTTTGTGGTACTAGGATTTAACCTAGGGCCTTTCACATGTACCACTGAGGAATCTCTCTAGCCCTGGTTTAATTTCTTTGGTATTTTTTATTATTTATTGTATGGTGTGGAGTGGGGTGTACATGTGGAAGTCAGAGAACACTTGTAGAAGTCTGTCCTCTCCCCCAGTGTGGGTTCCAGGAATTATACCAGGTCATCAGGTTTGGCAGCAAGTGTCTTTATCTGCTAAGCCATCTCTTGTACCTTCAACTTTCCTTGCTTCCTCCCTCCTTCTTCTCTCCCTCTCTCTGTTCCTTCTTCCTTCCTCCTTCCTTCCTTTCTTCCTCCTTCCCCCTTCCCTTCTTCTCTCCCTCTTTTCCTCCCTTTCTTTTTGAGACAGTCACATGGCTAGTCCAGGCTAGCCATGATCTCACTATATAGCAAAGGATAACCTTGAGCATCTAATCCTCCTGACTTGACCTTCCCAAAGCCAGAAACCAGACAGAATGGCACTGGGATTCAACACTAAGTAAACACTCCCCTGACTGAGCTACACCCTAGCCAGATTTCCTCTCCCCCTCGCCCTCTCTTTGCTTAACTTCTTTATTAATTAAACTTCTTCCACATTTTCATATTTGTCTATAATGCATTCTGATTACTCTCACCCTACACTCTCTGATCACCCTGGAGCAATAGCAAGGGTGTGCTGAGGGGACACTTCTAGCAGAGGCAACACTCACACACTGCCTGGGGATCCCAGCTGAGCCCACCCACCTGGGCTGCACCCACTCACCAGTGTCCAGAGCACATAGATGGTAAAGAGGGCGATGGTGAGAGCAATGAGCCCCACAGCCTCCAGCCGGCTGTGCAGACGGAGGTGGTCCTGGGCTCCTCGCAGGCATAGCCAGCCTGAGATGGCAGCCAGTGGTGTGATGAACACAAAGCACACCATGTCACAGCACAGCGTCCGTTTCTCAGTGCGAGGTCCTGGGTCCTTCAGCCACTGCAGGGGAGCAGATGAGGGAGAGGGGTTATGTGGAGGGGTGCTGCACAAGGAGGCATAGGATGGGGCGGGCTGTAGGCCTGGATCTCCATCCTTTTAAAAAAAATAACACTGAGTCCGGTGTGTGCTTGCCCCCATTTTACTGATGGGCAAATGGAGGCAACAGAGGAGTTAATGCATTTAAGCAAACTCACACAGCTAGAGTAGACTGACTATCCTATTCTGAAAATCTACAATCCAAAATGTTATAAAATCTGAAGCTTCTAGGACACCAGCATGATGAGTGGGTGGGGGAGGGCAACTAGAGAGCTAGGCCAGAAGTTAAGAGCACTTGCTACTCTTCCAAAGGACTAGAGTTCTGTTCCCATCATCTATGTCAAAAGTCTATAACTAACCATGTATAACTCCAACTCCAGGGGATCCCATGCCCTCTACTGGCCTCTGTGGGCACCTGCACACAAGGAAAGACATACAGACCCACATGCATATATCTAAATAAAAAAACAAAAATAAACCCTTTTATTGTTTGTTACTTTGTTTTTTTGAGCCATGGTCTCTCTATATAGTCCTGGCTGTTCTAGAACTCAAAATGTAGACCAGGCTGGCCTCAAACTCACAGAAGTCCTCTTGCCTCTGCCTCCTCAGTGCTGGGATTAAAGGTATGCATCACTATGCCCAGCTTAAAAACAAATTTTTAAAATGCCATCGTGGCACTGCAGGTAGAAATTTCTACACCATGAAACTTGTTTTATATATACATCATCACCATGGTCACCATCACTACCACCAGCACTACCAGCACCTCCATCGCTGCCGCTGCCACCACCGTGATGATGGGTTGTTACTGTTCTCTGAGACCCACATGGGCCTTGAACTTTTGACCTTTCTACTCCCAAGTGTTGAGAATGTGTTACAATGTCCAGCTCAAAATTATTTAAAATATTATATCTGGGGATGAGTGAGGTCTTAGGTTCAATTACTAATACCACCGTAGGAAAGAAAGAAGCAAAGGGGGTGGAGGTGTGGTGGCACACACCTGTAACCCCAACACTTGAGTGATGTAGGAAGAAGGATCATGAGTTCAAGGTCAGCCTCTGCAAGTCTGAGGTCCTTCTAGGCTACATGAGACCCTTCCTCAATAGACAGACAGACAGACACACAGACACACAGACAGACATATGGAGTGATGGTTTGAATGAGAACAGCTCCTGTATGCTCATATATTTGAATACTTGGTTCCCAGTTGGTAGAACTCTTAAGGAATTAGGAGGTCTGGCCTAGTTGGAGGAGATGTGTCACTGGGGACAGATTTTCAAAAAACCCACCTTAAGCTGGGCATTGGTGGTATACACCTTTAATCCATCCCAGAACTCTGGAGGCAGAGGCAGGTGGATCTCTGTGAGTTCCAGGCCAGCCTGGTTTATAAAGTGAGTTCCAGGACAGCCAGGACTGTTACACAGAGAAATCCTGTCTCTAAAAACAAAACAAAACAAAACAAAACAGCTTACATTATTTCCAGTTAGTTCTACTATGTCTCTTACTTGCAGGTAAACTATAAGTTCTCAAATACTGAGCCTGCACACTTCCCGCCACAATGATCATGCACTAACCCTCTGAAACTGTAAAACCCAATAAAGTCCTCCTATAAGTTGCCTTGGTCATGGGGCCTTATCACAGCAACAGGAAAGAAACTAAGACTGATAGATATGCTGGGTAGTAGTAGCATGTGCCTTTAATTCCAATACTCAGGAGGCAGAGGCAGGAAAATCTCTGAGTTCAGGGCCAGCCTTATCTAAATAGTGAGTTCCAGAAGAGCCAGGACTATACAGAGAAACCCTATCCCGAAAAACAAAAGACTGATATTTAAATTTTTACATGTGTACACACATGTATGTATGTGTGTATGTGCACATGTATGTGGGTACCATGAAACCTAGATGAGGGAGTCAGATATCTTGGAGCTAGAGTAAAAAGTGGCTGTGAAAAGCCTGATGTGGGTGCTGGGAATTGAACTTCAGTCCTCCAAAAGAACAATAAGTGATCTTACTGCTGAACCAGTGGATGAGAGAGAAAGAAAAAGAACTGACTCCATATATGTTGGCTCCATGACACTATGGGCTAGGGATTTAGCTTAGTAGGGGAGTACTTGCCTAGTGTGAGCAAGGCCCTGGATTCCAACCCCAGCAATACAAGAAAACAATTAACTGAAGTAAAACATTGCATAAACTTACACACACACACATGAAATATGAGTGGGTTTCTTTTCAATTTGGATCCCAAATACCTCTTACTATTCATGAAAACACTCCAAAATCCCCCAACTCTCAAAATTAAAACCACTCTAGTCCCAAGCTTTTTTCTTTTAAAGATTTATTTATTATGTATACACTGTTCTGTCTGCATGTCTGCCTGCAGGCCAGAAGAGGGCACCAGATCTCATTATAGATGGTTGTGAGCCACCATGTGGTTGCTGGCAATTGAACTCAGGACCTCTGGAAGAGCAGCCAACGCTCTTAACCTCCTTGACCTCTGAGCCATCTCTCTAGACCCCAAGCTTTTTTTTTTTTTTTTTTTTCTCTCTCTCTAAGACAGGGTCTCAACAATATGTAGACAAGGCTGGTCTTGAATTTCTGATCCCCATTCCACCACCTCCTCAGTGGGATGATAGGTGTGTGGCACCAGCAGGGTTTTATGAAGGGCTGGGGACCAGATCCAGGACTTCATGTATGTTAGGTCACCTACCAGATGAACCACTGACCCCAGGCCTTGGTGTTATCCAGGCTGGATTGACTCTGTGATCCTTCTGTCTCTGAATCTTTGCCATATCTACCTGTGTGTGCTACCACAACCAGCCCAAGAATTTTGAATAAGGATTATTCATCCTATAGCCCACAAAGCCAGCCAGGACTAGAACCTAGATAGTGCTACTTGGAGGCCCAAGCACACTTTGTCACTATGTCATACAGCCTCCCAAAGATGGTGGGCCAAAAGAAACAAGTATAGCTCATAAAAATAAATAAAAATAAATAAATAAATAAATAACTAACTAAATAAATAAATAAATAAATAAATAAAATCAGAGAAGGCAGCAGAAAGGGGCTTGTTCTCCTGTGCTAATGAGGGACATCTAAAATAGGGAAAGTTGGGGGCAAGTAAGATGGCTTGGCAGGTAAAGCGCTGGCCAAACAAGGTTGATGACCTGTTCCCAAAACCCACATAAAGGTGAGAGAGAACCTGCAAGTCATCCTCCACATGTGTACTGTGCCATACATGTGTGCATGCCCTCACCCCCACATAAAGTAATTTTAACAGATGGGGAAGATGGCCAAGGATTAAAGGCCTTGCAGAGTGGACAGGGGGTGGGAAGGGAGACAGTGCTGCAAGACTACAGGAACATCAGACACAGAGGCCCTACGGTACAATCTTTTAAACTGGCATGGTGAGCTGAGTCAAGGGTAGGAGACGGTGTATGTAGAGATTGGTGTCTCTCACTGTCTCCTTTGAGCCCAGCTCCCAGGTGGGCTGGAGGCTTTACTTAGGTCTCCCAAGTGGCCTGCAGTGGCCTTGACTGATCTGGACAGTACTTCCTGGTCTCAGGATTGGACACTGCTTCTCACACTTCAGTCCAATGATATCTACTCTGTGGTTCTAAGCCATCATATGACAGGGTGATATCAATAAAAGTCTAAGTGTCTGGGTGATGTACAAAGCCAGGTGTCACCACTGTCATCTCTCTTGAAGCCACTTTTTTCCTCCTCTCTAATTTTTCCTTTTGTGTATGTATGTACATGTGTGTGAATGTGTGTACAATATCGGGATGCAATGTGTCTGTGTGTGCGTGTGTGGGGGCACACACAGCCATGTGTAGGATGATGTCTAGAATTATCTTCAATCTGTCCTCCACCTTATTCACTGAGGCAGGTTCTCTCAATCAAACTCTGAGTTCATGGATCCCTTCCTCTGCCTCCTGAGGCTATAATTACAAGCAGCTGCTGCACTCACCTGACATTTATATAGGTTTGAATTCTTGATCCTCATGCTTCTAGGGCAAGCACTTTAACCATTGAACCGTCTTGGGTTTTTTTTTTTGTTTTTGTTTTTTTTTTCCTTCTCAAACAAAATATCTCAGATATCAGTTTGTTCACATATCCCCAAGAATAGTGTAACACAAGAGGTCTCATGTAGCCCAGGTTGGCTTTGAACCCCCTATGCAGTCATCAAGGATGACCTTCCCCTTCTAATCCTCTTGTCTCTATCTCTCAAGTGCTAGAATTCTTACTGCATTCTACAGATTGAACTCAGGGCCTCATGTATGCTAAGTGAGCATCCCACTCTGAGCTACAACCCCACCCCTTTTCTTAGTTTGACCTACTCCTCCTGGCCTTAGGGTCTTTGTACTTGCTGTGTTCTCTGTCAGGACTAGCTTTTCCCTGGATTGTCTAAATTCCTGTTTTAATCCCTCAGGTCTCATCTTGGGGATTCACCTCCAGCCAAAGCCTTTCCCTCACCAGCACACTCTGGATCTTTGTGTATATTTGTGGGTTGGTTTATGAATACAGAAATGCATGTTTGAGATATGTTCTTCCTGATTTTTCCTCTTGTATATACTAGGCTGGCTAGCCAGTGAGTTCCCAGGGATTCTGTCTCCACCTCCCATCTTGCCTTAGGAACACTGGAATTACAGAAATGAACTACTACACCTGGCTTTATATGGGTTTTTCAGACTTGGGCCCTAGTGCTTGTATGGCAAGCACCTAATACACTGGGCTATCTCCCAGCTCCTAGGACTGCTCTTGACTTCCAAATGTTGATCTGCACATACCCCACTCCCTCAACATTTCCCTTTGTGATGTTTAGTACCAATGATCAAATTGACAGAATCTGGAATCCTGGGATGTGAGTCTCAAGGAAGAACTGTCCAGGTCAGGGTGGCCTGTGGACCTGCCTGCAAGGGAAATTCTTAATTGCATTAACTAAGGTGAAAAGACTCTCACTGTGAGTTCCTATGCCACCATCACATAGTCTGGCCTAGACAATGAAAGGAGAGCCATGTGCATTGGTGTTGCTTGTTTGCCATGTCACCATTGTTTGAGATAGTCCTACCTCTAGACTTCACTGCAGTGATGGGAGTGACCTGGAACTGTGAATCATTACAATGCCTTTCCTTGTTTTTGTCTGGGTATTTTATCACAGCAAACAGGATGGAAACTAAGATACCCTCTTAACTGTTCATACCAACTGGCCTGTTTGGAGATCACATGGACATTATCAACTGTGAGTTGGTGACTGGGCAGGTCCAGCACCTGACAAAACACTGGGCACACCAGAGGTGTTCAAAGAAATACTTAGTGATCTGAGCTTCATGGCAGATATCTGTAACCCAGTACCCAGAGAAGGCTGAGACAGGAGGATTCTAAACTTTGGGTCAGCTGGGGCTATAATAGGTAGATATGGGATGGATGGATAGATAGATAGATAGATAGATAGATAGATAGATAGATATAGATAGTAGATGATAGACAGACAGATGATAGATAGATAAAGACCTGGTGAGATGGTTCAGCAAGTAAAGGTACTTGCCAAGCCTGACAAATTGAATTTTATCCCAGATCCCACATGGGGAAATGAGATAAGTAATTTGTACATGTTGTCCTTTGGCCTACACATGTAATTAATTTTAAAATATTTTTAAGGGGCTGGAGAGTTGGCTCAGTAGTTAAGAACACTGACTGCTCTTACAGAGGACCACAGTTCTATTCCCAGCATCCACATGGCAGCGCACAACTGTCTGTATCTCCAGTTCCCAGGGGACCTGACACCATAGCAAAAAACTAATAATGCCCATAAAATATATTTTTAGTTTTTTAAAAAGAAAATAAGCTGGGTGGTGGTAGCACATGCCTTTAATGAGTTCGAGGCCAGCCTGTTTTACAGAGTTAGTTCCAGGACAGCCAGTGATACACAGAGAGACCCTGTCTCAATCCCCATCCCCTTCTCAAAAAGAAGAAAATAATAGCATGCTACGGTGGTGCACACCTTTGATTCCAGCTCTTGGGAAGCAAAGACAGGCAGATCTCTATGAGATCAGCCTGGTCTTCATAGAGTTCTAGGTCAGTTCTAGGGCTACTTAGAGAGACAGACCCTGCCCCAAACAACTGAATGGTGGCTGAAGCAAGAGGGTAACAGATAATTCAAGGCTAGCCTGGTCTACATAGCAAGTTCCAGGCTATCCAGGGCTACATAATACAACCTTGTTTTAAAATAAATACAAGCAAACAAATAAGAAACCTGGGTATGGTGGTGTACCAGGATGTGGGAGGTAGAGGCTAGGGGATCAGGAGTTTAAAGCCAGTCTGATATATAGCAAGCTGTAGGCAAGCCTGGACTATATGAGACTGTGACTAAAAATAAAATAAAATAAAATAAAATAGAACAACAGTAGCCCTAGGGTTCGTGCCTTGTCTGAGTTCCAGGCCACCCTGAGCTAAAATGACAGCCTATTTCAACAAACAAAAACAGCCCTGCATGGTATGTATTTATAATCCCAATAACTCAGGAAACAGAGACTGGAGGAGAGTAGCAAATTCAAGTAACATTAAAGGGATGGGGTGGGGTTGTGGCTCAGTCGCTAGAGGGCTAGCCTAGCATGAATGAAACCCCGGGTTCCACTGCTAGCACTGTATAAACTGGTGGTGACACTGACTGCCTATAATCCCAGCACTGGAGAAGTAGAGGCTGCATGACCAGGAGTTGGAAAGTTGTCTTCAGCTAAAAGCCACTTCGAGGACAGCTTAGGCCACCTGAGACCCTGATTCAAAATCAAAGCAAGAGAGAGAGAGAGAGAGAGAGAGAGAGAGAGAGAGAGAGAGAGAGAGAGGAAGAGAGAGAGAGAGAGACCTGAAGCCTCTAGTCAGTCAGGCTCTCACTTAACAGCAGACCCCTCCCACCCTCCCAGCACTGGCAGGGACATAATCAGCTTACCCAGCTAACCTGAGCTGCTACCTCGGTCCCCAAACTGCCCTTCTTCCTTTCTGGACGTCTAGTGTGGTGACCCCCCCCCCACACACACACACACCAGCAATATACCTCTGTGAGAGGTCTGGGCCGCTTTTCAACTGCAAATTCAGTGTGGCATAGCTCGCAATAGCTGGTATTGGAGGAAGACAGCCATTTCTCCAGGCAGCTCTTGTGCACAGCTCCCAGCGTGCCGGTGCAGCCACATGGGGACAGCAAGTTCTCACCATTCGCTCCCTCGTGGCAGATTCGGCAGAAAGGACAGTCACTGGAAAGATAGAGAGATAAGACTTGTGAATGATGGACAGTAAGGCTTCTTGCTTATATCAGCAGGCATCACTACTTGCTAGGTTATAAGCTCACTGTTGCCCCCCCCCCTCCCAAATTGCTATTTGGTAAACTCATCTTTCAGGAACCCAGCTCTAGATGTCCTCTTCTCAGGTAGTTTTTTCAAGGTCCCATTGGTAGGGTCATGTGTTCCCTCCCGAGAGCTATTGTGGGCCCTTATTAGACTAGAGTGAACAGCCTGTCCACTTGCCTGCCTAATGCTCTCTCTCTCTTTTTTTTTTTTAAAGATTTATTTATTTATTATGTATAGAGATTTCTAACTGCATGTATGCCTGCATGCCAGAAGAGGGCACTTATAGATGGCTATGACCCACCATGTGGTTGCTGGGAATTGAACTCAGAACCTCTGGAAGAACTGTCACTGCTCTTAACCTCTGAGCCATCTCTGCAGCCTAATGCTCTCTTCTTTTGATGAAATGGTAGCATGACTAACTATCCACTCTTGGTGACCCTTCTGATGGTTTATACTGTGAGCCTGACAGGATGTAGAATAATCACCTTGGAGACAAGTCTCTGGGCATGTCTGTGACATATTTTCTAAACCATGTTAACAGAAATGGGAAGACCCACCAGAAGCATGGACTGAATAACAAGGAAGAAGCAGGGACACAGATGGCTCAGTGGACAAAGATGCTCAATCCCTGGTACCCACATGCTGGAAAAAGAGAATTGACTCCTGTAGGCTGTCCTCTAATGTCCATACGTATGTCATGGTATGCACACAATGGTGGGCACACACCCATACATACACACTAATAGTTCTTTAAAGGAAAAAGCAAATTGAACACAAGAATTCATCTCTCTGATTCCTAGGCTTCCTCATTATAGGTGCAATGTGACCAACCACCTCTGATGCCTGTGCTTGCTGTGACTTCCCAGCCATGATGGAGAGTAGCTTGGAATTATGACTCAAAACAAACCTTTCCTTTAAGTTGCTTTTTCACACAATCACACACACACACATACTAACATACATCACACACACAATCACATACATATACTAATATACATCACACACACATATACTAACACACATTACACACACAATCACATACGCCTACACACACTACACATACATGATCACATACACTAACACACATATACACTAACACATATATACTAACAATCACACACACACATACACTAACATACATCACACACATGATTACACACATCACAATACAATCACACACATACACTAACACACATCACACACAAAATTACACACATATACTAACACACATCATACACATACACTAACACATCACAATATAATCACACATATATAGTAACATACATGATGATACATTAACATATATCACATACACATGATTACACACATATATATTAACACATGATTATACACACATATACTAATACACAAGATTTTTTAAAAAGACATTATCAAAATTCCTGGCTCTATCTATATCTAAAGGTCACACTGTCTGACAAACCTGTGCATATGAGAAAAATCACTAATTTGTATTTCTGTGCATGGCTGAGGAAGACAAGGGGTGGGATGGGTGAACAGGCATAGAAACCATCCATAACAGCTGCTGTGGGGAGTCTCTAATCACAGCCCAGTCTCTGGGGATGTTGAGTTCTTCCTGGGCCAGCTCCAGAAGGAAGGAGGTGTAGCTTCAGTGGACTCATGGGATATTCAATACATGAGTCGTTGTTTTCTAAACTTTCTGCCCAAAAGCATATTGTCAGGAACATGTGTGCACACGCACACACGCACACACGCACACACGCACACACACACACACACACACACACACACACACACACACAGGGAGACCTTTTCTCCAGTTTTCTGGTTGTGTGGTAGAAGCCTGGCTACTCTGAAACAGGCCCAACAATGGACTGCGGCTGTAGCTCAGGTTGGCAGAGTGCTTGTTTAGTAGTCAGGAAGTCCTGGGTTCCATCTCCACCACCACAACGGCATAAAACATGAATGTCTGTGAACCTAGCACTTTGGAGGTAGACCCAGGAGGATCAGGAGTTCAAGGCTGGAAATCAGCCTGAGCTACATGAGATCCTGTCTGAAAACCAACAGAAATGCCAAAAAGCCCAGACCACAAAAGAGAGGGCTCACATCTTTCCTTTCAGCCCAGTCTCTAAGATGCGGTTTTCTTTTGCAGTACCAAAAGGCCACTGGCAAGACTCAAGGAGACACTCAATAGGTAAAGAGCTTGTCATGCAGATATAAGAACTGGAGTTTGGATCCACAGCATCCACAGAAATACGAAGCCGGATGTGGTGGCCCATGTGTAATCCCAGCACCTAGATATGTAGATGGGGTTCCCAGAACAAGCTGGGTATTTACTCTAGGTTCAAGTCAGAGGCCCTGCCTCAACAGCACACTTGTGTGTATGGGTGCCTGTGTGTTAGACAAGAAAGACACCTGATGTCAGCCTCCAATCTCCACAAGTACACATGTATACACAACTGCATATGTGTGTACCTATACACATGCAAACACACACGCGCGCACACATACACACACCCATAAAAGGTCACAGGAAAGGACTCCCCATTCTGGAAACCAACTCAGGGAAAGAAGCGGCAAGACTCTTAAGAGCTACATCAGCTCAGTTTCTTCTGGGAAGCCCTGGAAGCTGTGGAACAATTCTGAAAGAGGCAGAAAGAGCATAAGTTATTGTTTACTGAGCACTCCCCATGTGTGAGTCACTTCTGGGCCATTTTGTTTTGTTTTCAATTTATGTTATCAGATATGAATGTGTATATACATATGTATATATAATAAATGTATGTATATATGTGTCATGACACATGGGTAGAGGTCAGAGGACAACCTCCCACCTTGCTTGAGGCAGGGTCAGTGTTCATGTGTACCATATGTCCCAGACTTGCTCCAGGCTTCTGTGGCTTCACCTGTCTCCACCTCTATCTCTCTGCAGGAGTGGGTAAAGGTTTGTAGGCCTGAGTACCACACCTGGATTTCTATATGGATTCTGGGGATTTGAAGTCAAATCCTTATGCAGGCATAGTAGGCATTTTACCCATTGAATCATCTTCCCAAGCCTATTTTTATTCATTTTAAGACATGGTTTCCAGGGTTACACAGAGAAACCCTTTCTTCAAAAACCAAAAAAAGAAAAGAAAAAAAAAAAAAAAAAAAAAAAGACATGGTTACATTATGTAGCCCTCACTGTCCTGGAACACATTATGTAGTCCAAGCTGGCCTCGAACTCATAGAAATCTGCCTGCCTCTGCCTCTCAAGTGCTGGGATTAAAGACAAATGCCACCCACCCAACTTCAGCCTGTTTTTATTTGTTTATTTTTAGACAGGGTCTCATGCAGTCTACATTGGCTTCTAACTTGCCACCACAGCTGAGGGTAACCTTGAATTCCTGGTCCTCTCGTGTCTACCCCTCCAGTCCTGGGATGCCAGGCATGTGCCAACATCCCTAACTTTGTTTTTATATTTATTTATTTTTATTTATTTAGGGACAGAGTCTCACTATGTAACCCTGGCTTGCCTGGAACTTGTCACATAGACCAAGCTAGCCTTGAACTCACAGAAACCTGTCTGTCTCTGCCTCCAAAGTATGTTCAGTTGTTTTACTTTCTGAAACAGGATCTCACTGGCACTCACTACATAACCCAAGCTAGACTTGGGTTCACTGTGCTACACAAGCCAATCTCAAACCGATGTTCCTCTTCCCTTGGCTCCCCTTGTTCTGTCTGGCTCCAGAGCTTTGGCTATAGGCTCTATTCTAAGTGCAATACTGGGTTTCGTTGATTTTCACAATGAGCCACAGAGGAAAGTGCTCACTTGCTCCCACTTTGCAGATATTAAAAAGTCCAAGGAAGATGGGTAATGTGGCACACATCTGTGGTTCCACTACTAGAAGGCAGAGGTAAAAAGAGCAGGAGTTCAAGGTCAGCCAAGCTACAAAACAAGCATAGGGTCAGAATGGGTTATATGGCATCCTGTCTTCAGAAAGAAAAATCCAAACCAAACCAAAACAAAAAACAAAAAGAAAAGGAAGGAAAGGGAGGGGGAGGGAAGCAGAAAAGGGAAGTGGGGGAGAAGGGAGGGAATGAAGGCCTGGAAGAGCTTTAATCTGTGTGTGTGTGTGTGTGTATGAGAGAGAGAGAGAGAGAGAGTCACACATTAGTTACAGGTTACTTCTATGGGGTTGCTCACTGAACTGAAGTCTGCCTTTTCATCTAAGCTAGCAAGCTAGCCAACAAGCTCTCAGGATCTGCCTGTCTCTCCCACCTAACTTGCTATGGTTGCTTCTCTCTTCCCACATTTAGGTGTGTTCCAAGGGTTGAACTCAGGTTGTCAGGCATCCGTGGCCAGTTTTTTACACACTGAGCCATCTTGCCAGCCCAGCATTTTCAGCTGATGATCCTTTCAGTTACAGTGGGCTCCTTAGAACATACCTTCGTTAGGGACAGGGGTAGCAAAACCCACACTCTGAGGAACGTAACAGCATATTCTCAGAATAATCTGACCAGAAAGGTGTTGCTACTTTAGAGATCTGGTCTAATTTATTGCAGGTCACTCAGGGAGAGAAAGGTATCCACAGGAGTTTCATCTCAGGCCCTGTTCTCCACACTCCTCACTCCAAAGCCCAAGGTTACTTGCTGTAGAGCCCTATCCTCTCGGCATGCTAGCTTTCAGCATCTTCATCCAGAGTAGCTGGAACTACTTACAAACAACCTTTAAGATCCAGCTTGTTGACTGTTGGCCTTCCCTCCTACAAAGAGGAGGTGGGTCACTAGCCCCTCCCCTGAAACCCCAGACACCACCACCTGCACCTCTCCCTGCTAACTATACTCCATTATTTCCAAGTTACACATGATCTTGTGGTCTAAGAGGTGCTATGCTAGACTATACAGTACGTGGGAGGTTCATGAAGGGGGACTCTATAGTGCTGTAGGGAAGTCATCATCCATTCTAGGTGACTTTCTGGTGACGCAGCTATTCTGGGGTACCCATGCTCCTGTAAGTAACCGCCCAGCCATGTTCTCTAAGTAACCCCAGTAAAATCATTGGCCCCCACAGCTAGATTTTGGTGGAGCTAGATTTTAGTTTGTCATTGGTGGCGTCTTTGGAGATATTGAGGGAGGAAGCAAGCATTTATTCATATTTCCCCAGGAAAAGTTCAAGAAACAACTTTCAACACTTGGTCTTTGGATTTCCCATAGTCCTCTGGAATTTTAGTGCCGAAAGAGAACCCATGGTTTTGCCCTTACTAAGCAAGCACTCTATCACTGAGCCATACCCCCAACCCCAATTTGTTCATTTATTAGTAATTTTGAAAAAAGGATGTTGCTATGTAAACTAGGATGGTCTCAAACCCTTTGTAGCCCAGGCTTGCCTTGAACTTTAATCCTCCTGCCTTAGCTTCCAAGTGCTGGAATTTATAACATGTACTTTGGTGTGTGCTTGTGTAAGGTGTGCAGATGGGTGCTGGTGAGCATGCATGTGTGTGCACATGCTTGTGGAAGCCCCAGTTGTCATTCATCAGGAGCCATCCACTTTATTTATTAGACAGAGTCTCCCACTGGCCCAGAGGTGTCTACCTTGTTTTTAAAATTATATTTTATTCATTTATTTTTTGTTGTGTGAGTTGACAGGTGGGTGTATATGTGCCAGACATACATGTGAAGGTCAGAGGATAACTTTCAGGAGTTGATTCTCTCCTTCCATCATGAGCTTCCCAGGGATATAACTCAGGTAAATCATGAGGCTTTTACCCACTGAGCAGTATCACTGGATGCCATCTTGTTTTTTGAGCCAAGGTTTCTCACTGACTAGGCTAGAGGGCCAACAAGTCCCAGGGATCCACTTCTCTCTGCCTCTCCAGTTCTGGGATTATAAATATGTGTCTCCACACTCAAGCTCTATGTGTGCATGTGTATGTGTGTTCCTGTTGTAGAATATTTAACTATGTAAAGATGTATTTCATTTGTTTATGCTATGGGCTATTTAACTGTGTAAAGCTGTGTTACATTTGTTTTTGCTGAATTTGTTTAATTATGTCCAGATGTATTGCATTTGTTTCTCTTTGCCTGCCAAAGGCACCTGATTGGTCTAATAAAAAGCTAATGGCCAATAGCTAAGTAGGAGAGAGATAGGCAGGGCTGGTGGGCAGAAAGAATAAGTAGGAGGAGAAACCTAGGCAAAGGAGGGGAGAAGGAGGAAAGAACAAGGGGAAGAAAGAGGGACACACTGGGGAACCAGAAGCCAGGCAGCCTGAGGTACAATGCAGATCCAGAGAAACAGGGTAAGTTATAAGAGCTAGTGGGACAAGCATAAGATAAGGCTGAGCATTCATAACTGATAAAAAGTCTCCATGTCATGATTTGGGAGGTGGCTGGTGGGCCAAAAGAAAAGCCTGGTATATGTTCCTGTCTGTGTGCACGGGTGTGTGTGTATGTTAAGACCAGAGATCAACATCAGGTACTGTTCTTCAGGGGATGCCCACCTTGTTTTTTAAAGAAAGGTGGACTGGCTGAGAGCATTCCAGAGATCTGATTGTCTTTGCCTGGGATTACAATACAGGCTACCAAGCCCAATGCTTTACATAGATTTCAGGGATGAATTTTGGGTCTTCAAGCTTGCATAGCAAGCACTTTACTGACTGGCCCATCTCCCTAGCCCCGTTTACAGACATGTTCCACCACACCCAGTTATTTGGCCCTTTTAAAAATCTATTTTTTAGTATTTGTTTGTCTCTGTGGGGAGGGAGTTCCCAAGGAGGCCAGAAGAGGGTGTTAGATCCCCAGGAGCTGGAGTTATAGACACCAGTGAACTGTCCATTGTTTTTGCTCGAAACTGAACTCTGGTCTTCTGCAAGAGCAGCAAGAGCTTTAACCATTGAGTCATCTCTCCAACCTCAGTATTTAGCTTCTTTTCTCTGGCACACTTACCTCTTTAGCCTCTCTCAGTGACTGAACCTCTGATCTCAAACTAAGAGAAAATCACTCAACCCAGAGAGAAATGTCCAAAAGCCAGGATGCTAATGGTCACAACTCACCTTGGTGTGTCCAAAGCCCGGATGACAGTTGAGAGCAGCCGGCCATCCCTTGAAGTCACCTGTGCCACATACTGGGGTGGCCCAAGGCCTGTGGCCTCCACAACCTTGGAGAAGGCAGGGCTGCCAGAGCAGTCACATAGGGAGCCAGGGAGGTGGCAGCAGTCACCTGTCGTCATGGCCACAGGGAGCCTCCTGTCCTCAAGGCCTGAGACCCATGGTCCTAGGAGCCTGAGGGGAGGCCAGCAGAGAGACCAAAGGCAAAATATGTGAGTCACAAAAACAGTTGGGTTACCCCCCCCCCTTTTTTTGAGGTGTGTATGCATGTGTGTACATGTGCTTGCAAGTGTTTGTATGTGAGGGCAAGTGAATGTGTTCCAGGACACATCCATGCCTTCCACCTTATTTGACAGTCTCTCGTTTTCTGCTGTGTACACTACGGCAGCTGAAGTCCCAGCTTCCAGAGATTCTCCTGCCCCTATCTCCCTGTTTCACAGTACTAGGATTGGGATTACATGTAAAGTTTATGATTCCTGGCTTTACATGGGTTCTAGGAATGTAAACTAAAGTCCTCACATTTGTACAGCTAGCCTTTACCCACAACGTGGTCTTCCCAGCCTGAGTCCCTCTTGTGATCTTACTCTATAGCCTAGCCTGGAACTTAAAATCTAAGCCTCCTGAATGCTAGATTTTAGACCATGCCTGGCCCTTGAATCCCATATTGTCAGGGATTGTGATGGTAATTAAGTTGTCAAACTGACACAATCAAGAACCACCTGAAAAGGGGCTCTCATGAGGAGCTGTCTAGACTAGGTTGGGATGTGGTTGGGCTTTTGAGGATTTTTTTTCTTTTTAAATTATGTTTGTTCTGTGTATGTTTATGTATGTGCCACAGCATGTATGTGGAGATCAGAAGACAACTTGCAAAGGTCAGTTCTCTCCTTCCACAATATGGGTCCTGGGGATTGATCTCAGGTCATCAGGCTTGGTGGCAAGTGTTTTTACCTGTGGAAACAAATGGAGTCTCTTTTACCTAGGTATTTCTCTTCCTTCCTTCCTCCCTCCCTCCCTCTGTCCCTTCCTTTCTTTTGTTTCTTTTTTTTGAGACAGGGTTTCTCTGTGTAGCCTTGGCAGTCCAGGAACTAGGTCTGTAGACCAGGTTTCCCTTGAACTCACAGAGATCTGCCTGCCTCTGCCTCCAAAGTGCTAGGATTAAAGACTTGTGCTGACACCACTACCTGGTACCCCCTATCCCTTTTTTCCTAATCAATGGTTTGTTTTTAAGTTTTCACTCGACAACTTCACTTTTGTTTTCCTTTGTTTTTGTTTTTGTTTTGTTTTGTTTTTGAGAGAAGGTTTCACTGTGTAGATCAGGTTGGCCTCAAATTCACAGAGATTCATCTGCCTCTGACTCCTGAGTGCTGGGATTAAAGGTTCATGCCACCACTGCCTAGCCCTAGATATTTCTTAATTGGTTAGTTGAGGTGGGAAGAGCCACCCTGGACTGGACTGAATGAAAAGGACAGAATAAGCTGGGCACTATCTTGCATGCATTCCTTGCTCTCTTTTCCTGATTACAAATGTGACATGATGAATGCCCTCCAGCTCTTGCTGTTAATGACTTCCCTGAAATTATGGCCTAGAACCTGGAACTGTGAACTAAAGTAAATCCTGTCTTCTCCCCTAAGTTGCTTTTGTCATAGTATCTGTCATAACCAAACTGACACTAAGACAGGGCTCTAAGACTTGCCTCTTTGGATCTCTGTTTGCATCTGTAAAATGTAGATTTGAGAACTCTACAAGCTGATATACACAACTTATTAGCTCAGACTTGGAGGACAGCTAGGGCTTGAGCTGGATTTTCTCAGTCTTCTAGGAAAAGCCAGGCATACACACAGAGAGAGCAATTGAAAGTAACTGCACACATATTGTGTGCTGGAGCCTTCGCTCAGTTTTTTTCCACAGTCAGAACCATCCTGTTCTAGATAAAACCAGGCCAAGTGGTGGTGGCATATGCCTTTAATTCCAGCACTTGGGAGGCAGAGGCAGGTGGATTTCTGTGAGTTTGAGGCCAGCCTGATCTACAGAGTGAATTCCAGGACAGACTCCAAAGCTACAGAGAAGCCCTGTCTCAAAAAACAAAACAAAACAAAAATCTACCTAAGACCAGATCCTTGAGACTGCGCTAAAAACACATTAAGCTGTCTTTAACAAAGCAGAATGCATCTAGAGAGGCTGGGAGCATGACTCAGAGTTAGAGTACCTGCCTAGAATCTAGTGAGGGCCTGGGACAGACACAACAGCAGTAAAGTGCTGCCCTAGCAATAGTGCAGGCAGAGGATGGGGAGAGAGACAGAAAAAAACAGAAACCTAATGTTTTGCACTGTACTAGAACGGTGAATCACTCAGGCCCCTTGTGACTCACAGCTTCTGTTGGACCGTGCACTCTAGGAGACCTCAATTCATCAAGGAAATGACACATGTTTGTGTCCCCAGAAGACGAGTTGCTCTGTTCTCAGTTCCCAAGGAAAGGCTGGCCACAGGAAATAGTGAGGTAGCCATTCTAAAGTCTGCTCAGTGTGAGTATGGTGGAACTCTGCCCCTGCCTCAGGATCCAGTCAGCAAAAAGGAGCCCTCTGCCACCTCATACTCTTCTCTAGAGTAGCCAGAAGGGGATTCCAGCTTTCCAATCTCTATGTAAGTTTCCTCTAAGAATGTTTTTTCCTTTTTAGTAGCAGGATATGAACTGAGAGGCCGGTCTGACCAGGCAAGCACTCTACCATTAAACTTCACTCCCAGCTCCTTGCTTTTCCCACCACTTTCAACTTTTCCTTTTTGATTTTTACATTTTTTTAAAACTAACTTTATGTTACATTCACTTATGGAGGAAAGAGTGGATATGCCACAGGTGCATGTGGAGGCCAGAGGACAACCAGCAAGAGTCAGTTCTCTCCTGCCAAGTGGGTCTTAGGGGCTCAAACTCAGGTTATCAGGTTTAGCAGTAAGCAGTCTATGAAGTATATCACTGGCCCATAATGTTTTAATTCTAGACAGAGTATCACCAAGCTACCCAGGCTGACCTTGCCTGGAGCTTGCTCTGTAGCCTAGGCAGACCTTGAACTTAAGACTCTCCTGCCTCAGTTCTTCAAGTAGCTGAGATCATAGGATTGTGCCATCATGTCTGACTCTTCTGAGAAATCCCAGAAGGCTCCTTAGACATCAATCCAGAGCCAAAGATCACTGGTTTCAATTTGTCCAACACCCAGGACTCTTGTCTCAAAGAGTTAAATCTAGAGCCCCCAGTAGCTCTTACAAACAGTAACTTACAAATACTCTTAGGCCCAACTGATAGGGCCAGCCTGACACCAAGTCAACTCTAACCAGCCCTGCCTGTGAAAACCGGAGACCCAAAGACATGGAATATAAATTATTAACTGACTTTTTGCACCTAGACAGATCAGCTTTTCCCTGAAGAGCTCAGCTAAAAAGCCAGCATGACCTCCTAGGCCTCCACAGCTGAGCCACTGTAGGTCAGATAAGCAAGTATCAACCGAAGTCAGACACAGCCAGGAGGAAGGCTGAGAACCTGAGATAACACCCACAGGGCACTGGCCAGGCCTGCCTTGTTGTGGACACTGATGCTCCGTCAAACACCACATCCAGCTGAGAGGTCAGTGGGGAAGTGCTAGGCCCTTCGAGAGAATGCATGCTGAGAAGAGTCCACCGCAACCTCTATGATTTATGTTGGATCTTTTCCCCTTTCTTTCCATTCTTCTTCTTTTCCTCTTCTCTCTCTTCCTTCCTTTCTTTCTCTCTTTCTTTTCTTTTCATTTTTATTTTTTGGGACAGGATTTCTAGGTGGGCCTAGAACTAACTAAAGAAGACCTTGAACTAGCAATTTAATGGTTTTAAATTTTATTATTTGTACTTTATTTTATGTAGATAAGCATTTTGCCTGCATGTGTATCTATGTACCAAATGTACAGCTGGTGCTTGTGAGGCAAGAAGAGGGCATCTGATCCCCTGCAACTGGAGTTACAGACAGTTGTGAACAATTATGTGGTTGCTGGGAATTGAACCCAAGTCCTCTGGAAAAGCAGCCAGTGCTCTTAAACCTGAGCCGTCTCTGTAGCCCCGACCTTCACCTTCCAAATACTGCCATTTCAGGAATACCATGTTTGATGTATGTAGTTCTGTGGATGGAACCCAGGCCTTCATGCATGCTAGGGAAACACTCTATCAGCTGAACCATTCCCCTAATGCTTGCTTTCTCCTCTCTCCCTCTCTCCCCTTAATGACAGGATCTCTCACTATACAGCTCAGCTAGAATTCCTGATCCTCCTGCCTCTGTCTTCCAAGTGCTAAAAGATGACAGACATTAGGATTTATACCAACAATTGTGCATTACAAGAATCATCACAGTTCCTTACTTTACCTACTATATGGGGAAACCCACCAACACCAGTAAATCTGCTCATACCAGTCCATAAACTGCTGAAATAGTCACAGCAATGCTGGCCATGGTAGCACATACCTGTGATTCCAGCACTCCAGACATTGAGAAAGGAGGATCAAGCTACAGAGAGAGCTGGCAACCAAATGGAGCTACAGGAGACCTTGATGCAAAAAACAAAACAAACATCAGCAGATAAAATGGCTCAGCAGGTAAAGGCACTATTCCCAGAACCCGAATAGTGGAAAGAACACATACACAATGTAATAAATAAAAAAGTAACATCAGCAAAGATGTATTAAACACTGGATATTAAGGCTAGGTTTATGGCTCAATCGGTAGCATAACTTATCCAGTATGCCCAGAGCACTGCGTTTCTCCCCATTGCCTTATAAAACTGAGTATGGAGGTACACACTTGTCATCCCAGCATCCAGGTTATGCAAGCAGGAGGATTAGAAGTTCAAGATCATCCTCAGCAATATATGTAGTCTGAGACCAGCCTGGGCTACAAGAGATCCTATCTCAAAAACAAACAATACACCCTAAATATTAGATTACCAAGCTACCTGCCTACATTTAAACTTCAATCGATTGTTGTTAAATGTCTCCTTCAAAGGTCACATCCCTGAAGTACCTCTCAGGCTCCTTATGGCATGGGGTCCTTTCTGAAATGCTGTTAATGGACCTGCCATGCCTGTCTTTTACCCTTCAGTGAACTCCGGAAAGAAGGAATTTTATCGGCCATTCTTCCTGCTGTCCCCAGCACCCTGCCCTACATCAAGCACAGAGTGACTGTGTGTAGTATTGCTGCATTCATTTCTCACTCCCAACTCTGTAACAGATTAGGAGAATCGGTTAGATGAGCCTCAGAGGCTAGCCTGTCAGTCTCTATGATGGGAAACAGCTCTAAGGCTACTGGGATGGATTTCATCAGGTCTCCACAACTAAACTATAAGCCCAGTGATTAGCCTCACTGATTGAAGGAGAGGCCAAAGTTCAGAAGGCATGCCTATTCATCCAAGGTCACCCAACTAGCAAGGGACCAAGCCAGGATTTGAACTTAAACAGTACAGTGAGTTGTCTGGCCCTCAAGAGACACTAGTTCTTTTTGTTGACCTGTTTAATTTTATTTGTCATTAGTCTTACTAATTATGTTTTATTAATTTTATATGTATGAGTTTTTGCCTGCATGCATGTACCCAGTGAGTACTTGACAAGATCAGAAGAAGGAGTTAGGTTCCCTAGAACTGGAGTTACAGATGGCTGTAAGCCACCATGAAGGTTCTGGGGACTGATACCCAGGTCCTCTGCAAGAGCAGCAACGATTGTTTGTTTGTTTGTTTTTCAAGACAGGGTTTCTTTGTATAACAGTCCTGGAACTTGATCTGTAGACCAGGCTGGCCTTGAACTCATAGAAATCAGCCTGCTTCCGACTCATGAGTGCTGGGGTTTAAGGGCTGGGCCACTACTGCCCAGCTCAGCAAGTATTCTTAATGAACTCTCCAGCCCCTAGATTTTCTTCCTTTGTTTGCTTTGCTTTTGAGACAGCATTTCATTACATAACCCTCACTGGCCTTGAATTCTCTGTGATTTTTCCTGCCTCAGCATCCTGTATTCTGGGATTACAGGCATGCAGCATCACACTCAGACTCTTTATTTATTTATTTATCTTCATTTTTAGATTAATGTGTTTACTCTTTTTGGAAGGAGTGGCACCAGTAAGGAGCATGGGTGTTTACTTCAGGAGTATGGGCACATCTCTGAGGAGAATGTTCCTCCCCCCCTCAGCAACCATAAACTGCCTATAGAATCTCAGACAATGGTTAACAGGATTCATGAGTACTACCCTCCTCTCCATGTGCAATACTAGCGACTGGACCCTGAATCTCAAATATGCTGAGTAAGTCACTGAGCTACATTTCAGCTTTTTTTTTTTTTTTTTTTTTTTTTTTTTTCTTTTTCTTTTTCTACCTAGAGCCTTTCAGACTCTATGGCTCTGTGATCCAGGCTGCACTAAACTTGCAACAGTCATTCTGCTCACTCCCCTGCTTCCTTGCCCAGCTTCCAGGGCTTGCTTTTCATTTCATTTTCAAGACTGGTAAGATGGTTCCTTGGGTAAAAGTGCTTGCCACTACCAAGTCTCATGAGCTTAGCTTAATCCCCAGAACCCACACAGCAGGAGGAGAGAACAGGCTCCCAAAAGTTGTCTTGTGATCTCTACATGTGCTGTAGTGGGTAAGGGCAGACAAACTCACATATAAACAAAAGAAGTGAATACACAAACAAATGTTTTAAAATGTCAGGGGCTAAATAGATAGGTGAGCAGTTAAAAACACTTACTGCCCTTGCAGAGGACTTGGGTTTGGTTCCCAGTAACTACATGGTGGCTGACCACTGCCTGTAACTACAGTTCCAGGGGATCCAACACCCTCTTCTGGCCTCTATGTGCTCTTATGTAATAGACATAAATTCATACAGGCATACATACATAACTTAAAAAAACAACCAGTTAGCCCCAGCACTGGGGAGGCAGAGGCAGTTGGATCTCTATGAATTCAAAGCTAACCTGGAGGCTACATAGTGAGACCTTGCCTCAAAAATAAAATTAAAAAAAAAAAAGTTAAAAAATATATGTATTTAAAAAAAAAAAAAAGCAATAAAACCAAGGATATACTAAGTAACCCAGTCAGGCCTTGAACTGCCTCAGCCTCCAGAGTTCCTGAGATAACATATTGTCATGACCCATGACCTAGATGCTTTATCCTGGCTCTGCCACTGCTGTAGGTCCTAGTTCAAGTTAATTTCTTTTTCTGGGCTTCATCTTTCTCTTTTTTATTTTGGTGCGTGCGTGCGTGCGTGCGTGCGTGCGTGCGTGCGTGCGTGTGTGTGTGTGTGTGTGTGTGTGTGTGTTTGGCAATACTGGGAATTGAACCTAGAGCCTAGTGCATGCTAGGCAAATACTGAACTACATCCCCAGTCCAGAAACTAAAAACTAAGTTCTAATCCCAGATGCTGTTTCTTGTTTACTGTTTGGTCTGCGGTAACAGCCTTAACTTCACTGGGCCTCAATTTGCTCATTTGGACGAGAGGAATTATTTTTAGTATTTCCACTTAGTATGTTTCCCACTAACCACATACATTTGTGACTACAGAACTTTTAAAAGTGTTTTGAATTTTACTGATTTTGTGTGTGTTTGTCCATGTGTATGTGGGTGTACTCATAGAAGCATGTGCTTACGGAGTTGAAAAGACAACTTTCTGGAGTCAGTTTTTTCTTTCACGGTATGAGACCTCGAGACAGACAGAACTCAGGCAAACACCGTGACCAGCTGAGCCACCTTGGCAGTCCCTGACTAGCGTCTGAAAAACAACATTTTCAACACAGTGCACTCTGAGTAGCTTTTCTGTGAAGCGCCCAACTCTTCATAATGTTAATTATTATCCAGACAGAACCCTTATAAACAGGGTTATTGAATGACATTAGTCACTTATTGACCACCTACTGTATGCCAGGCGCTTTCCTTATCAGCCATCTCCTAAATCAGGCTGGCTCCGGGATGACCCACTTTTCACAGATGGGGAAACCGAGGCTCAAGAAGGTTCTTACCACGTGTCGAGACACTGAGACCTCTCACCAACCTCGAAATGAAAACCGAGGTGCCTGAGTCCCGAGCAGGCTTGGGGCCAAGAGTGCAGACCTAGCTGTCCCGCCTGAGTACTGTGTCGGGGCCTCGAACCAGGGACCCAGTGGACCCGCCTGCATATTTGGGCCTGACCCACTGTTCCGTGCCTACCTGATTCGCGGCCGGGCCGGGCGGCCGCGCAGGCCCCTCGGTTCTCCCTGGCCCGGGTCCCGGCCCGGCCCGGCCCGTCAGCAGCTGCTTGCTCCGCTCCGGCCGGCACCTGCGTCCGGGCACCGCCCGCCGAGCGGACAGCACGGCGAACCAATGGAGACCGCCTCCCAGCCATTTTTGCCAATCAGAGTTCACGTCCCGCCCCAGGAGGTGGGGCCTGCAGCTACGGGGACGTCCTGGGCGGTTCAGGCCCCGCGGCGCCGCAGCTTCTGGCTCCGCCCTTGCTGCGTCCTGGCTCCGCCCTCAGAGTGGGCCCCGCCTCGTCCCGGCTCCTCCCTATCCCAAGCTCTGGTTGGTGGATTTGCTGCCAGCTGCTGCAGAACAAAGGCGCGCTTAAGTAAACAACGCCTGGACAGATCTGAACTTGACACTTTCCAAATGATTTCTTTGCGCTTCCCTTTTCCCGTCTTTTTTGAAGACAAAGTCTTATGTAGATCGGGCTAGCCTCAAACTCACCTTGTAGAGGATGACCTTGAACCTATGAGCCTCTATCTTCCACCTCCGTGCTATAGGGTGCCAGAATCGAATCAAGGACTTTGTGTGTGCTGGGCATTCGTCCTTATTATACTTACCAGTTCTAGGGTAAGGAGAGACGGTATGATCACAAAACTGGCCCAGAAGGGTAGGGTGCTGTGGTGGAGACTAAAGCCAACATCATTCATGCAAGGGATAAATTAAAAAAAAAAACAAAAACCAAAAACAAACAGACAAAAACTCAAAAAGCCAGGCCGTTGGTGGCGAACGCCTTTAATCCCAGCACTCATGAGGCAGAGGCAGGAGGATCTCTGTGAGTTCGAAACCAGCCTGGTCTACAGAGCAAGTCCCAGGATAGTCAGGACAGCCTGTCTCAAAAACAAAAATGGAGCAAGAGATGGCAGAAAGAGCTGTAGAGGTGGATCAGTTGGCAAGAGCTCTTGCCTGGCAAACATGAGGATCTGAGTTAAAGTTCCCAGCACCCACATTTAGCTTTTGCTGAATGAAGCTTTGAACTTCTGTAACCCCAATGCTGTGGATGGTGTAGAAATGAGAGCGCCTGGAGCTTACTGTCAATCCTGTAATATTTTTTTCACTAAGAGATCCTGTCTTAAAATAAGGTGAAAAGAGAGATATCCCTGCATACAAACATGTTTGTTCTGCTAGAACATACACACACGCACACACGCACGCATGCTCGCGGGAACGCTCAAACAAATGAAAAACAAAACAAAACAAACCACTTAGTTGAACTTGCCTAGCATACAGAAAGCCCTGAGCTCAATCACCAGCACTGTATAGTCTGGACATGGTGGTACATGCCTATAATACCATCACGGAAGAGGTTCAAGGTCATCTTCAACTACACGGGAAGTTTGAGGCTAACCTGAGCTACATGAGACATATCAAGAGAAACAAAAAACAACTACTAAAGATGAAAATTCCGAAAGTAGCATTATTAGGTCCAGGCACTGTTCAAGACCCTGGGGACCACATTAACTTATGAATATTGTGGGACAAACATTAACAATTTTTAAAATTATTTCTTGCTTATTAGAAGCATTGTCTTGCCTAACCCTCTCAAGTGTAGGATTACAGGCATGTGCTACCACACCCCTACTTTATCATTATTCATTACTATTACTATTGAAGTGCTTTGGATGGAGCCAGAAGCCTCAAATATGAGGTAGGTGATCCAACACCAAGCTATACCCCTAAGCTCCATTTTGTTGTTGTTTTTGTTTGGTTTTATTCTTAGATACAGGATCTCAAGAAGCCCAGTCTGGCTTTAGTAATTTCTCTCAAATATGAAAATTGTCAGAAACAATGTGGAGTCACTTTTGTTGAGTTCCAATAGCAATGGTAAAAAGAAGTTTAAAAAGCTGGATATGTGTGGTGGAACAGGCCTTCAATCCCAGCTTCAGAGGCAGAAGCAGGCAAATATTTGTGAGTTGGAGGTCAGCCTATTCTACCCAGCCATAGTGAGACCCTGTGTCATCAAAAACAGCAGAAAACACAGAAATTGTAAAAGAGAATATTTCAGTCGCCCATGCCTCATAACAACCATAACAAAAGTATTTAAAGAGGACATTGGAACTTTACAAAAATGTTTATGCAAGGACATGTGCTGAACAATGTTTGCACTATCTCAGACTGACCCCACTCTTGTTATTGTTCACTATCTCCAAGGATAATTGATGCACATTAACTTACATAATCCTTCTCCTTTTGCTTTTACAGGGTTCCCCTTGCCTCTACCTCTCTAAATAGACACTTGATCTACACTTGGTCTACAATGATATGCACATTGCCATCATGGGGCTATACATTATCCATCTTTCTTTATTCTTGTTTTGTTGTTTTGTCTGTTTGTTCTGAGCCAGGATCTCATGTGCCCCAGGTTGACCTCTATTTTGCTGAGTAGCCAAACAGTGTAGCTCTTACCTCTACCTCTTGAAAGCTGGGACAACAGGCCTACATCACATCAGCAATCTGGTATCTCATGCTGGACATGGAACCCCAGGATTTAGCATGCTAGGCAAGCACTCTACCCACTGAGCTACATCCCCAGCCTTGCTTTGTTGTAGAATATTATTTTAAGGTATGTTACTTTTGTTTATGCTCTAGAACATTTGTTTAATGATGCATAGATGTGTTTGATTAAATAAAATTCACCTGCAGTTAGGAGGCTAGGTGAGCAGTTAGCTAACAGGAAGTTGTAAGGAGGAGCCAAGTGGAGAAGGGTTTATAAGGAGGAGTTGGGGAGGGGAGCAGGATGAGTTGCTTGCTATTCAGCCTCTCTGGGAAGCAGGGTTCTACCTCAGCCTTTGAATCTTCAGTTCTGTAGTAGGACAGAGATTTAGATAAGTTTCCTTAGTGGTTTTGAAAGAATCGGTGCTTGGCTCTTGTAGCCTATCTGCTGCTGGTAGCATCAGAGTGGCACTTGCTGAATAGGATAGCCATAGCTTAAAAGGCAGCAACAATTAAAAAAGGAAAACAACGACTTGGTGCTTGAATGGGTGGTAGAACCACTCGGGAGGAAGGGTCACTCCAGCCTGTTTAGCGGCATCTGCCATCTGAACATCTGCTGGAGAAGTCAATAGAATTGGTAAGAGATTTGGGTATTTTTTTTTATGAGGGTAGGACAGAATTAAATAACATTGAAAAGAAAAAAATTTCTATGTTAAGGATGGGAATCAACAATGCAGGGTGGGTGCTAGAGCTCTTTATACTGCTACCTTAGGAGGTTTGAAGTTAGAAGGAGAATATGGGGAGGTTAATGATTTAACTGACACTGATATAGTACCAATAATAATACTATTAATATGGTAATTAACAACTTCTCAATAATGTTGGTGGTTTTTTTGTGTGCTACATTTGACAAGTGGATTAACAGAATGCAGGTCTTGGAAAGATATACTAAAAAAAAAAAAAAATACTCAGAGGATTTAGAGCAGAATTTGCCACATCATTGCATTGTGAAACTAGAGAGGAATGGCCTAAGATTATTAGAATACCAACTTTAATATATCCAGTTACTTTCAACAACCACCACCAGATAATATGTATCCACAAGGCTACACAGAAGTTAATTGGAATCCTATAGATATGTTAGACTTAAAGAGAAAGAGAGTTAAGAGGGCAGTAGTTTCATATGGTATATATTCACCCATTGTAAGATAGATGTTGAAGAGAATTATTCCACAAGACTTCAAAGATTTAGTTTCAGCAGTGTTGGAAGGTGGTCCACAAATGCAATAGAGAACTTAGTGGAGAAGGAAGCCAGGGCTGGGAACCATGAGGTAGGTCACGAGATTTCCCAAGAACAAATTCTTGGTGAGGGTCAGTATTCTGATTTGCAAAAACAGTGTATGTTGGGTGATAACGCCCTGATTCTATGTTGTATAGCAGCCTTGAATGCTTGGGACAAGGTTGAAGAATCAGGAAAGAGGATTAAATCATTTACTAAAATTATGCAAGGCTCAAAAGAAGCTTTCACTGATTTTTTTTTTTTTTTGGGCATAGATCAACATCAGCTGTATATATGATATCTGAACCAGATGCTAGACAAATATTAATCAAACCTCTGGCTTTTGAAATGCTAAGTGTTGTTCTTTTGATACAACTATTGCCTAAGAAACACAAACACGAGACTCAGTGCCCACATGGAGTTTATTGAGAGAGGGGAGAGAAAGGGGGGTAGCTGGTAGTTAACTGAAAGCAGGGGAGAGAGAGATTAAGAGAAAGACAGAAAGAGCAGAGAAGGCCAGAGAGAAAGCAAGAGAGAGGTGCACTTGGTGCGCTTACTTTAAAAGGGGGACTTGTGCATGTGTAACTTAGTCCCCTGTGCAGCCAGGTAAAGCTTAAGCAGCCAGGTAAAGCCTGACATAGCAATGACATGGCCATGAGTGTCCCGCCCATCGTCGGGGGGCGGGGTCAGCAGACTGCTGGTTCCCAACATTCCCACCTCTTATTGTTATTAAAAAGGTGGGGGTTGGGCGTGGCAGGTTAGGGAATAAGGACGTTGAGTTCTCAAGACTGCTTCCTGCTGACTTTGGGGCATTGATCGTCTTTGGGGGATCCGAGAAAGCTGGGGTGCTGGTAGCTGGTTGTTTTACCGAAGTCCTGACAGTATGGAGCTCTGGCATCTTTTTGAGACCTGGCAAGATGTTAGCAGAACAGAGGACAAGGTTAAGTCCAAGTACTTAATGGGAGAAGTGTAAGGTGGGGAAGGGGCTCCCAGGGGAGTCCCACGACAAGGTTAGGAAGTCCCAAGACCAGGAAAAAGTTGAGTAATATTTATTTGGAGTGAATCTGACCTGTAAATGGATCCAATTCAGCTCCCTGGAACCTAAAGAATCCTTTGGGTTTGTGAAACATAAATATTAGACACTTTATCAGCATACTCATGTTAGAAATGATTTGGCTGAAAAAATTAACACAACTGGCATATTTTTAGCACAATGAAAAGCACCTTAATTGTGAGCTTATAACTACAGTTATGATTGTATAGTGGCATAGTATGGTGTT